ATATTACAAAAAGTTTTTTTTCTTCAACTTAGTGCGAGGCATATCAGAGAATGCAATTTATAAAAATAAAAGATTGATATTCGTATATGTTCAAATGATCATACACGCTAAAAAATTTTAAAAAATATTAAGTAATGACAAAACCATATTTAGTTATGACAAAACCATATTAAGTAATATCAAACAGCATTAAGTAATGTCAAAACCATATTATGTTAAAACAAAATATCAAAAATATCAAGTAATAATTAAACCACATAACGTAATATCTGACAGATACCACATAAGAAAGCTGTGGCGTTCCATATATATATACGTTTAGTCCGTATTCTACTTCGTCAAAAGTATCTCCCCATTAGGGACATCAAAAGATCAATGGGGTGGGGTGGGGGGGGGAGGGGGTTAAAATTGCTGCAAGTTTTGTTTATCCAAAATCGATTTTACATATATCCATATTGGTCAATCAATTTTTCCCAAATTAAGTTAAGAGGGGGGGGGGGGTCAGTGAAAAAACTATTTGAATTAAGTTTTGTATCCTACATTGAACTTTTGATGTCGTCCCTTACGCCACCTAATTTTATTAATCGTGAAAATGGAAGCCATTTTAGGGATTACGCGCTGTCATTTAGCTCTTGATAAATTTATCCACATACCTTCATTACGATTCTTACATGACAGTATATTTTAAAAGACAAATGTATCTACTATCTATTAAGCATCATTTAATGTACTTGTAGGCCTTTTGTCAGCTTAAAACAATTTTCTGATCGGTTGTCAGGGGGGGTTTTCGAAAGTTATAAAAATACTAAAAAAAGTCTAATTAAATATTTCGTGGAAGGGCAGACTAAATATTTTCAGAGGTTGAAGACTTATTACCCTAGATACCACAAACAAATAATTAAATATTTTTGAAGTTATGCCTTTTTAAGATCCACTTGTAAAGTCTGTCGTCAAGTACTTTTAGTAAAAAATTTGTTATTCAAACACACCTACTCTGTTATTATGACTCATTAGAAAGGTATTTCACTTGACCCATGTATTACATTTTTTAATACTGTGATTTTTTAATGTTATTATATCAACCTGTAGCCTAAATATAAAAATAATAGAATCTGAAGCGAGATGATGTATCAAATATGTTTGCTTTATACGTTTTCAAGACAAAACAGTCAACTCAAACACGCCCGAACATGAAAAGATGTACTCGACATTCTCTTTTTGATGAGATTATTGCCCATTTTTAGGATTTTTTCACAACAAACTGTCGCAGAGATGCAAATTAAAGCATTAAAAGATTATGCTTTTATCTTTGTGTAGAATTTTTTCAGCGGAATTTATGCTTATGCACAAAAAAGATCCTCATGAATTTGTACGTACCCGTGACAATCGACTGTTTTGTGAAAATTTGTCTTTAACTTAAAAGTTTACAAATATCTCGAAGTACCATACTATAATTTAAGTAAAAACACGTATATAAGATGCAAAATATCCTAAATTATGCACCTACAATAAACTTTCAAAGCCCATAAAAACAGATGTAAACAATTCAAATATACCAACTTGGCCTTTTTTACCTTCTCTAATAAAGAGTTCCATTTCTTTTGTTTAATTTCAACTGGATATCAGCCTGCATTTAAGTATTTTATATATCAAATATGAGAATTTGAGTTAAATCGGTGAACATAAATTTGGTAGCCGATGCCCCTTTAAAGTCATATGTAACGAGTTTCTTGTAATGATAACGGGAAGGGACTTATCAAGTTGAACCCAGTGGCGTAGCTAGGCCATTTGTAAGTGTACGCCCGATACTCGGCGCGGTGTCTGAGGGACCAAAGCGTGTCCAGGGCAGAGAACCTCCTGGTAGGGGTTGATGGGGTGAAGCCCCAGATACTCGCGTTAACGAGAAAAAGATACCATTTCTGTCATTAAAAATTCATCAATAGCTGAATATTTAGAGTCTAGTTTATTTATTTTTTATGTTTTATTTATTCATTGTGTTGATTTTGAATCCAATGATCATTTGTCTTAGAGAAAAATGTCCAAACCAGTTACTTAAAATATGTTTAAAAGGAGATGTGGGATCTACAAATAACAAGATAATAAAACAAAGCAAGTCTCCATTTCAATGTTGTTGTTCTTTTAATTATTTTCACCCTTTTTTATGCGCAAATTCTGTAAATAGACACATGAAATAAATAATTTTCATAGATTTTCAGGTGAAATATAAAATTCGTAAAGAGTTCCGTGGAACCCTATGTCTCGCCTGGGATTACTTCTGTCATTGTAAAAGTGTAATGTTGACTATAAAAAGTTATCTATTGATCAGTGAAATACAGGATTTAAGACAAAAAACTTTATCTTGAAGATAAGCTTATTTTCAAGGTTCATAACAATCTATGAAGATTTACAAATTTATCATGTAAAAACAGACCATCTGTTAATTGTAAAAAAAATAAGTCAGTAAAATACTGAAAAATAAAAAAAATAAAAAATAAAAATTATCTCTTTTAAAATCATTAGAAATCTTCTATCAAATATTCATAAAATTCCATGAAAGTTTGACAAAGTAATTGATGTGTAACAATTAACCTCAAAATGTATAGATCTACTTATTAACTACAAAAAAACAAAGTCCTTTTATTAGTAAAATACGGAAAATAAAAAAAATATATATTTTCATCATGCTCTGGATACTGACTTTTGATCATAAAAAGTTTGTGTCCAACCATGGAAGTATTATATTGACAAAGTAATTGATGTCCGAAAAACACTTTAACCTTGTACGGCATCTAAATATTAACTGTAAACAAAAACTAAGTCCTTTTAGTCGACCGTGCGAGACCCTCATTGGTAGTCAAGGTCGTTAAACACCCCCTAGTAGTAAAATATCGTTGACATAACACTAGTGGTTCCCCATAAACAAACGTATCATAAACTAATGCATGTAAACCAAGCAAACGTTTCAAAATCAATAGACCATAACTGAGGGGGCGGGGCCAAATAATCGGTAAACGGACAGAAAGTCACAGGACATAAAGTCACAAATTTGATAGGACAAAAAGTCACAGGACAAAAAGACACAAATAGTTTGTTGACAATTGTTTAAATATATAAGAGAAAGATCTTGAAATATTTTCTTTTTATTACATATATTCATTTTTAAGTTTAGGAAATTATTAATAAGCCTTGATAAATGAAAATTTATTAAATTTTATCGTGCAAAGGATATATTTCTTGGCACCATGAAGCCATTTAAGGATAAAGCCTCTTTGACATTTTGTTTTCATAGCAATTATTTGATCATTATTAATATTTATTAAATAAATTTTAATTACAAAGTTGCTTCATAAATAATAGTTTAAGAAAAAAACCAAAATATTTCTTTTTAAATTAGTTTTTTCTTGTTCAAAGAAAAATAATCTCAAAACTGAATTGTGACTTTTTGTCCTGTGACTTTTTGTCCGTGACTTTTTGTCCGTTACTTTTTGTCCAGTGACTTTCTGTCCTACATTCAAATAATCTCCATGGAAATGAGATGTGCCAATGCTAATACAACTGCATACCAAATATCATTTGCCTACCACAAGGATTTGTATAGTGAGATACACTATACAAATCCTTGCCTACCACTAGTGGTTCCTCATAAAGTGACCTAATTACAAACTTATAAATTGTTGACAACGACGCAGGAAACAACATAACCTATGTCTCACTTTTTGACTCCCGGCGTCAAGGCGAGACAAAAATCAAAAGAAATATTCATAAAATTTTGCTCTGAATACTGTCTTAAATTTGGTCATAAAAATATTCTGTCTAACTTCCGTAGAACTCGAAGAATGTCTGACAAAGTTATTGATAAAATCAAAAATAACTTTAACAACAGACTGAACCTAAATGTTGACGACACCGACGGAATCTAGGAACGCTAAGCCACGGTTTCGTTTTCGCGACATAAATGTCGCAGGCTCGTCAAAAATGCAAACCACATATCGAATGAATTGCTTTAAACAATAGGAAACTGAGTAGAATTCACAGGAGATTCAGATTTTGACAGAAAATGAACAAATAATGTAATATGATACAATTTCATTAAACAGTAAATTTCGCAACTTTTAAAATTTATTATTGAAGAAAGAATAACAAGGCTCGTGTGGTTTAAGCTTTTTTTTTATTTGTTTAGATTAAATTATTTTTTCTCCTAAATTCATGTGTACGCCCGGGCGTTTTGACGTAAACGTAGCTACGCGCCTGCAGAAGCAGAACAGTTTCACAATAATGAAATGGGACCATCAAAAGATTGAATTACTCCACCTTTTTGTCATTACCTGCACAACAGCTGAAAAAAATATACCAAGATTCCAATATTTTATTTTATTTTCAACAGATTTGGTGTGTTACCATTTGTTTTAGTTGTGTTTATTTTTAGTTTTTTTTATCCCTATTTTTAAGGAGTATTTTATCCCTTTGTTTTATTTATCGAAATGTCGACCATGCTTGTTGGTAGCCATACCGGTTCATTGTGTACTTAATATGTCTTACTTAAGCGTTAAAATCGTGTGCAGATAATCAGAAATTTCATTAGAAAAATTAAAAAGGTTTCCGCTATTTATTGCAATGTTTAACATACGTTTTTTCCTGAACTCCTACGAACCAGGTTTTTTGTTGTTATCAAATTGTTTATTTCGCGTATACTTCCTTCACGAAATACATATACCCAGTGATTTACTTAACGGATGAATGATTTTATTATCAAGTTTTATTTTTAAGCACCTTAACATTATTTATTTTTCATTAAAGAAAGGTACATGAACCATGTTATAATGTACGTCACTTAAGCTTTATTTTAAGAACACTATGATTGGCTTAAGATCTATGTTTCGTTAGCCAATAGTCAGCTTTTTTCTAAAGGCTGTTTCTTTTGTGCTTTTTTAATTTTCTGTAACAAATTTTCTATGTCCTGGTGACAGACACTATAAAAATGAAAGCTGGGATATATGAAACCAAAGAAGAAGTACAGACACTGCAACCATGAAGTAAGATAGTGAAACCTTTATTTTAGAACAATTTGTTAGTCGTTTAAGAGTCCAGCGTCTAAATGAATGTTTATTTTTGCATTCGCACTTTTTAATATTGAATTTTGAAGAGCATTATTTTAATCGAATTTTTTTTTACTGAAAAGATTTATGACTAATGTAAAAATTAAAGTTTTAAACTTAATTTTCAGAGATGAAATGTTTGTGTTAAATTTTTCGGACAAGCTGTATTTTAAAATGTTCATTTACTTATGTCTATTATTTATTAAGTAAACTTAACCAGGTGGAGCGCATACCTTTTTTCAATGTCCATCTACTGCAAATTAACATAGAACAATCAATAAATGAGACATAACAAAATCTTTTTATTTTGTTTGTTGTACAAAATGTATATAATTATTTGCATTTAACAACTCTTGTATTTTCTTTATTATTGTGTGTTTCTGAAATCTATGATTCTGTTTTTTTTTCAATTAATGAATTTAATTTTATAAACAAAATCTCAAGTATATCGTAAACAGAAATAGATAACTAAATACCAAAATATCTTAATTTTAAGTTCACATAAATTGCAAGAAGGTTCGGGGGCCTTTAGTACAGTGTTTGTCGTTGGTTCATGTCTGTCACATTTGTTTTTCGTAATTGTTTTGTTATAGATAAGGCCGTTAGTTTTCTCGTTTGAATTCTTCATGTCGGGGCCATTTATAGCCGACTATAATGTACGGGTTTTCTCGTTGTTGAAAGCCGTTTGTGGCCTAAAGGCTATAATTGTTTACTACCACTTCATTTCAACTCTGGTGGATAATTGCCTCATTGGCAATTATACCACATCTCCTCATTTGTATATCAATTACGTTAACTATTTCATGTTATTTTAATTAACACATCATGCTATACTTGTATACGAACCAAACAAACTTCGTATAATGTAAAACGCATTAAAGTTATTGTTGGCAACTGGGGCAATAACCAATTAAAATAGTTACCTCCGACTTGGAGCAACTAGTTGGTCTTCTATTTTTTTTTCGACTAAGAATATATGGGCTGCTCAATTAATTTTATTTCTTATTTACCAGCCTTTAAATGCTGAAATATCGCGGTTGTCTAAGTGAATAATCACGTTATGGTATTTTTGGGAACCTCAACGTTTTATCAATTAGAAAAATCCTTATTTGTTTTTTTTAAAAAAGGAGCAAAATTTAAACAAAGAAGCAGTGAATTTAATTGATATATTAATGTTTTCATTCATTCATTTATCTATTTATTTATAATTATTTATACTTTCATTCATACATGTTTGTGTTAATTAAGAATTTGAAAAGATTTATATAATATGTTATACATTATGTCCATGAAATTAGGGGGGGGGGGGGGGGGGGGGGGGGTAATATAGTTTCAGTTTTCAATTTATTCTTAAGATCTAATACATGTTTCCACTGAAATAATTTTCAATATAAGAACAAGACATCAGATGGAAAAATAGATTAAGATAGATAAATATCTTCTTTCAAAGATCATCCTTGTCTGAATTCCGGATTCAATCGGTTTTAATTAGTCGAGCAAGAAATGAACACAACATCTTTTTTATGATAATTTTTTTTTACCAATTAAAACATGCAGGGTATTTTTTTTTTTTTTTTTTTGCATTTTGTTTGCTACACCTTTAAAACTGCACACAATTTTATTAAGTAGACTCTATTATTCAAATTAAACTGTTTTCCTAATTTGATCACAATTGAAGACGAGGGAAATTAGGCATGCCGCTAGAAAGGAATATAAATATTTCAATAACATATATACCATATTTAAAAATACAATTGAAAGTTATTATCTGATTATAGATGATCGTGTTTGGTTGTACTTTGTGCCACCTATTTTCACGGTAAAGTTAAACAAGGTTCTCTCGTTCTTAGTCTCCTGTTGGATTTCACGTGACTCAATAAAGATATCTTTCGATCAATAAGTGAGAAAAGGTTTTTTTTAAGAGAGAGGGGGGGGTCTAGTTACCATTTAAACAAGCGATTACTGTCATTAACATGGTATTTCTGAACTCAGTATAATTATCATTTAAATGGTATTTCTAAACTCAGTATATTTGTCATTTACTATAGTAAATGGTATTTCTAAACTCAGTATAATAATGTACTATTATAATTATTAATTGAAAAACAATATATGTACCACAGGATAGCTACAGTGTGTATAGTGTTTCTGGTATCGGTAAGTGCTCGACAGGAGAGTAAAGAGTTGGATTTGGAAAGCTTGCAAGGTGCCATAAAAAACAGTCCACTTTTTAGTGGAGGATTAAAGGATACTCTGAAGATAGAGGGAGAACAAAGTAAATTTAAGTTACCAAGCGTCGAGACTATAAAAATATTAACAGAAGAAGCAATTGCCAACTTCAACAAAACTGAGCAAGAACATAAACAGTTCTTTGAAAAAAGTAAGTATGATTAATTAAAAATCTTTTCGATTTTCGATGTAAGTAAAAATAAATCTTATTAGACAGTCTTGACATCGCTTATTCATTGTACCGGTACTCTGTAATATGGTAGTCGGTCGCCACGTTGGATCGCAAATGACAGCAAATGATCGGTCCGGATTTTAAATAAATAAGAAATATTGATGCAGGAATTAAATTTAATTGTGACACTTTTCATAAAAATGAATACATTTTTTTATATTTAACACCTTTTTACATCATATTACACAAATTTAAACCAGAAAATGTAAGATTGATTCAAAATTTGAAAACTGCTTTAAAAGGGGAGATGACATAAATAATTAAGTTTTTAACCAGTAATGAGGTGTAATTCTATCTATTTTATTATATAGCAGAAAACAAGTCCAGTTACCAGATCTTTTTTTTTATTTTCTGAAAGCATTTTATAAGAGCTATATTTTCATTTAATTTTTTTTTCTCAAAATTCTGTCATTTAGTATTCGTTCTATTCATATAATCATGCTTTCTCTTGTATAATTCATACAAAATATGTCAATTTCGCACAACCTATAGCTTGAAAACATTAATGACCTAGACTTTTTTTATTATATTTTTGTAAATAAAACGATATAAACTACATTTATGCGAAATATGAAAAGGTTTTATATTTTTTTGTGTAAACGTGAAAACGTGCGAGAGTAATAAAGAAATTTCATAAGAAAGTTATTTTTGCCACCTAATTACATTATTCGTTACCGAGCCTAGGACTAAGTAATGACAACAGTTGCAACCTGACGATAACAGGACAGTGTATAAGGTTTCTGTAAGAAAACTTGACAAAGAAAGGTGAAAGTTGATATTGAAATGGACAAAAACGACGGATGAGAAGCATAAATAAATTCCAAACCACAATTGAAAAGAAAATTAGATATGAGAAAATGTTTCGAGAGAAATGTGTATTTGAAATTTTTTTTTTTTTTAAATCTTTGCATTGCAAACACGGCACTATATGCATACAGCATAAGGCAATCACTGGTTAAGAATTGATTAAAAACAATATGATGCAAACATCCATTATACGATATCATTAATTATGCTGTATTTTAATGATATTCTTAAACAAATATATCTTATATATAATATGTACATTATCAAACTGTATTTAAAATTGCTTGTACAGTCTCTCATAAATCTTTTAAGATTGGCACATACAATGTTAATGTAATGTTTCTTGTTATCTGTTTTATGTACCTGTATGAATATTTTATTGTGTAAATATATGTAATTGTATGTGGTGAAACTATAATAAGATATTGAATCATGAATCTACGATGGGAAATCTTTTAAAATTATGACCTCACAAGACCGTCTCATTAACGGTTTAATGTTAACTTTAATAATCATTTATTATTAAGGATTTTAAAAATTAAGCACGTTCAATTAAATCATAACTTTATCACTAAATAAAATTAAAAAATTATTTTTTGTTGAATATATATCTGATTATAATTATCTTTTGATTTTTTGTGTATGGAAGCTTATAACTGATAATAATGATATATTTAAAAGTTTTTCTTATTGCTACAGAAATTGATAAACCAAATCTTGAGACGCCAATGTTCGGACCTCACTTGCTAACGGATCAAAGATCTTTAGCTTTAAACAAACCTGGGCAGATAATTGCAGAGGTCACAGAAAATATAGTACAAGCTACAAGAGGAAAACAAGAAAGTAAATCTCTGTAAGTTATAATAATTAACCAAAACATTTTGGTAGTCAAAGATTTTATTACTAAACTGGTTAATTGAAATATAACTGATTGAGAAAAAATTTCTTGGAGGCTCATAATAGTACTATTCCAGTCATACTTCTAAGACGAGAACACATATTGATTGCTGGATATAAGTCACATTAATGAAAAGGCCGATAGCATTTTCGAAATATTTAGAAAAAAATTAAGCTAATATTTCCAAATTTCATTGTTATACGATGTTTAATTGTGGAATACAAAGACCGGAAAATCATTTCTTTTTAAATCTGTCTGGCATTTCGTCAATTTATATTTGTTGTTTGTAAAACACGCATTTAACTTGGCACTATTAGCATTTACCGCTATTGCATTGTATTACATCAAAGTTGTTTTTCAACCAAAAATAAAACTGTTTTATGTTTGACCCGTTGTAAAGAAAAAATATGCAATTTTGTATATTATTTGGTCTCTGAATTTGAAAACGAAATTCTAAAACTACTTTCAATCAAACACATCTAAATTTTCTTAATCAATCAATATGACAAAACAAACAAATAAAATTAACATTTGACATCGCCTGTTCAAAATTATAGGAATAACAGTACTAGTATGAGATACCAAAACATATAACAGCAATACCAAAATCGTTTGGAAAAGGCTTGACTTATCAGATATACACAAAGTGAATAAAAAAACTTCTGAAAAACACAAAGCAAAACAAAAAACTTCAGAAATACACAAAGCAAAACAAAAAACTTCAGAATAACTAAATGTACTAATCAAAGAGTACTCGAAGTTAATTAAAACAAATTCAAAGCTAAATTCAACTAAAAACAAACAAAGTTTTCCAAGACTAAAATATCAACCAAAACACATCATACAGATTAATGAAAACAAATATGACGAAAGAGACATAATGAAAAGGATCCATTGGAATTTTGAATGGAAAATTTCGAAAGTGGAGGCTAAAAAAGCTGTTAAAATGCAATATAGTTTTACATCAATTAAATCGATATACTAATGTTATTATTGAAGAAAATAATTTATTAATGAGATCCACTAACATCTGATATCACATGTTCACTGTATGCATTTTTTGAATTACACTCTATCAGAAATAAAGCATCTTTCATTAATACCAAAATCCTGAAATGATTGGAAAATTTAAATCATTGAGAAGCAATCATGGCAACGATTCAAAATATTTCTGATATGGGACTTTTCACTATCATTATTTAATATTTGTTTCCAATCTATTTTAGTCTTCAACTTTAGCTTATTTGTTGTTGATTTTTTTTTTTTTTTTTTTTGTTATATATGTTTTTTTGTTTTTTGTTTTTTGTTTTTTTTTTTGCTTTTTTGTTTAATTTTTAATATAATTTTCATTTAATGATCGTTCTCAATATCTTAATATCTAGGAGTTCCCAAGATAGATTTGAAATATCCAACATAATCCAGGGACTTCGTAGAATTCCGACACTCCCAAGATGTCCATATTCAGCTGCAATCGACTGTTCCTCAGCTGTTGATTTCAGAACTAACGATGGATCCTGTAATAATTTGGCGCATCCTTATTGGGGGAAATCTTTTACACCGCTTGAGAGATATCTTACTCCTGAGTTTGGAGGTAAATTAGTACAACGGCCTCGGTATTTCATGTTATTTCCTTTGATACTTATTCCAGATGTGTGTAAAAACTTGGATATAAATAATAAATGATGAAATTATCTGCAAAACAATCACCATGGTGTATTTAAAATTAGTGAACTGTTGGTACTATAAAGCAAAGCCCTAAAGAAGGGTATGATAAACTCATTATGAACAAAATAATAGAGATAACAGGAAGTATCCAGATTGTTGGACAGTACAACAGATCACACCAACCGACAACTAGCCATTCATAAAGACAAAACAAAATCAACAACTAACGCATGGTCCAGATAGTCTGAATTGGTACAGGCACAACTTTTGGGGTTAATCCAGTTTTACATGTGCTCACACACGTACAAGTTTGCCGTGATCGCCGTCCGTGCTGAAACTTTATATCTATATTTTCCAAGCAAGCTTCAAATATTAAAATATATAAACACGTTGCTTGAAATCATCTTAAATACTGCAGCTGATATAAATAATGCAGAGAAGCAAATTAGTTATGGCTATAGTAGTCAGCAGCTACGATAATTGTTTTAATGTTACTGTCAAGCTCATATTGTTTCTAATATTTATTATTCTTGTTTCGTAATGTCCGTTTATATAGTTCTGAATATGTAAAGTCGTGATAATATTGATCTACAAATATAAAGACTATTTGTTTGGCATTTGTAGTCTTTTTGGGTACTTTCTGTTCACCTCATCTTTATCTAAACTTTCGAGGTGATATTTAGAAGTGTATTAATTAAACGGAAACCTGTCCATCTACACAACATAAGCAGACAAAAGACATTAAATGTTCGTCAACACTTGCAGCATATTGATACATATGGACACATTAACGTTTACAGCGTATAAAGTTATAAAACTAAATTTACCTATCTAATAATCTTTACGTGTATTTAGGTGCAGGAACAAACTTGCCAAGAGCAAATGGAGTATCCGGTGCTTTACCAGGAGCTAGAGAAATCAGCACAATTGTACACACAGCCAGTGTTGCTCCTGATCACCTTACCCCCTCATTAAGTTACTTTGTGATGCAGTTTGGGCAGTTTCTGGATCATGACATTACAAAGACAGCAATATCAAAAGGTAAGAATCGGGAAACTGGTATATATTAGTTATTAGTAAGTTATTTGGTAGATATGGTTTTTGTCCTAAGAATGTAATCAAAACTAGTGCTAATCTTAAACTATTAGCTGAAAAAGGTTCTGTCAATTCAATATCCGGAAATACTACGATTCAAGGTACTGATAATAAATTGTAGTTTGTTTATGTCCAGTGACTATAGGTAAAGGCTATAGTGCGCGACAAGAAATATTGAAACTCACGCAAAGATATCGACGACGCTTGTCTTTTTAGTAGTTTGGGAGGATCTGTACGTCTTCAACTTCTCCATAACGGTTTGTTATTTGTTACACGCAGCCAGTGCTGGTTGCTATTGGATTTAAATGTTGTAACATTTTTATTTATGAAACACATATTCCTGTCCTTGAGATCATCTGTTCTTATATATATCTAATATTATTTAAAGGTTATCAAGACAGTAACATACAATGTTGTGGAAACCCTTTACGAAGGTAAGAAGAGTGTACATTCGTGTCTGAACTGTTCTTGTTTTATACAAACACTAAATGGCATTGTTAACACCTTCATTATTAGACCTTGTGACGATTAAAGTATTTCTAAATAGTATCAGGAAACAAAAGAATTGAATCAAAATATCAGGCAATTTTAAAAATTAGGTTGGGGTCATCTGACTCATATCTAACAGAACTCAAATATAGGACTGTTCCAGACACGTGTTCTTTGTTTGGTTAGTTTTATTTCTTTGATATGCCAGATATCAATAGCAAATTGTCAATCATAAATATAGAAATAGTAAAATCAGACCAAATAGATATAAGAAGATGTGGTATGAGTGCCAATGAGACAACTCTCCATCCAAGTCAAAATAAGCTTATTTCATTTCCATGGTAATTTCAACATGACACTATTTTTCCATTAACTTTTCATTAATTAAAATATAGGGATTTAATACAGTGTTATCAACAATTTTGTAGGGGCTGTTTTCCTATTAATGTACCTCTAGGCGATCCATTTTACATGGGGAATGTAGACTGTCTAAACTTTGTTAGATCAACTGCAACCCCAAATTTGGATTGCTCATTTGGTGAGTAGTAGATATCATTATGGTGTAATTCTACTTTTTTTGAACTTAAAACAGTAAGGGTATAGTTTTTCTCTCCAGGTAGATACATGCATTTGGTATAAACGTATACGGTACTGAATAAATGCAAGCTGTCGATTTAAGAGTGCACAACGCATGTTTCCACCATCAAACTCACTGGAGACTCACAGTTTTGGAAGCTAATTCATATAACATTTAACAATATCAAAACCAAAAAGAGTTTCAACAGGAGGGATTAAATCGTCTTGTATAAATTTGTGTAGGGAAGTTACAACCTTAGTTTTAGTACTATAATATGATTTAAATGCTGAAACTTTATAATCAAAATATATCATTTAAATTCTGTCAGAGGCGAAGCGCTGGTAATTGTTCAACTTTCAACAGTAACTTATAGACCAAAAGTTTTGGAAGACAGCACAAAAATACTTAAGGGGATCAAAACCAAAAATTAAGGTCTTTTAATAATCAGAATATCTAACGTGAACATTAAAAACGTATTAACAAAACTACCGATCTCCAAGGTAAATTCAAAAAGGGGAAATCCATAAAACATGACAAAATCAAATACTCGACCATATGTACAAACGAAACGAAAAAACTGTCATATCCCTGACTTGGTACAGGCATTTTCCGAAGAAAATGGTGGGTTAAACTTTAACTGAGAGTTGCAATTTCTAACATATATTTAAACCTATAATTTTTAAAACCTCTATTAATCTTTAATAAAGTTTAATACTTTGATTTCAGATTATCGTCAACAATTAAACGAATTAACCCATTATATTGATGGGTCCAGTGTTTACGGATCAAATGATGATGAATTAGCTCAACTGAGAGACGGAACGACAGGTAATGTTAATATTATTTAACAAACAGATCATCACTATGCAATTTTGGCTGAACTTCTTTAGTCTTTGCTAAGTTTATTAACGACTTGTCTAGGGTCAAAACGTTTTATATATACTAGTATGTGGACCTTGCTTTTCATTGAGGACTGTAAGACGATCTCTTAATCACAATATCTCCTTTTTTTTTAAATTTTAACCGTGCAATTCAGTTGTTGTCTTATTGGCGTGTATCCCACGTTTTCTTCATGTTTCAATCAGGTCAATAAAAGGTCAAACAAAGATTTTTCAAAATTAAGAACTACAGACAATAAACTTATCAAGGGATGTATATTTTCAGTTCATAAATTGTATAATTCTTCATCAACTAAGAAAATAAGTTTACAACTTCACTGGAAAATGTGACTTGAGACTTTTGAGGGTTCGATATAAAATGTCATTTTGGTGTATCCTCTTCTCTGTTATTTTCGGTTTTTCAAATATGTGTATTTGGTACTGACCAAACCTGATAAAGGTTGTTTCATGTACTGAAACTGTTATCATACGGATTTTATTTTGGTTTGTTGTTTTTTTAACGAAACACCAGTTAGCATGGTTATTCAGTATTAGTCATTCAACTCAAACTGGTAATATTTTGCTTTAAAGGACTTGACACGCAATGTTAACATTTTCAACATCTTGATTACATTAGGACAAGTTCTGAAAAATATTTGTGTTTATTCGAATATCAATGTTAAATCTATCAAGCATGCCAAAAAGGATAATTTCTATATTTGACTAAAACTAAACTATATTTTGAAATTACACTTATTGGCGAAGTAACTATTATTTTTCATTGAATAAAAATTTATTGTTCCCTGTAGTGTATAACGTAAATAAATACAAGCGTGTAATATTCTCCGATATTCAGCAAATGCAATCACCATGTTTTATACTGGACTGCAATATTGTTATAATACAATTTAAAAACTTGTTCAATATAAAATTATATGTAGGATTAATAAGATAAATGACACCTTCAAATATTTATTTTTATTTTTTACAGCAAAGATGAAAACTTCTACCGGAAATAAATTGCCATTAGATATACCAAATGATTCCGGTTGTGATTTGTCTCTAAATCAATGCTTTCTAGCAGGTTTGTTTGACATAAAAAATTTTTTTTTTTAAATTTGTTATATTTAAATATTTAAAAATCTATGCGTGCCAAGAAAATTTTAAAATGTAGAGAGTTCCAAAATGTCATAATACATAGCTCACAAACATACATAAAAAGAGACGGGACATTTAAAACTCATAAGTCGAAGAAATGCTGACAATGCCATGCCAAAATACGAAAGACGACAAAAGACAATCAAGTCCACAAAACAGCACATATAAAAGTAACGACTGAGCAACAGGAACCCAATCAAAACCTGGGGTCGATCTCAGGTGCTCCGGAAAGGTAAGCAGATCCTGCTCTACTAGTGGCACTGTTTTGTTACTCCTGGTAAGTACAGATTTGATGATAAGTCTCATACGGTGATAACACGACCTAGAGGGGAAGGATGCGATTGTTGTTACGACAACTGTAACCTATGCTTGGTCATCTGTGACATAGGGGAAGGATACGATTGTTGTTACGACAACTGTAACCTATGCTTGGTCATCTGTGACACAGATATTCTATAAAGGGTCAACCATTGCGTGATGGTGTCCGTAAAGCTATCGAAGGGATGACACAAACTTTTTACTTTAAACCATTGTTTCAATAGTTCACTTGCCATCAGCAACCCTCTAGCATTATGGGAAATGCAAGCTCTGGAATATCTTATCAACTGGGAGATATATGCTCCATATGCAGGCCTTGATGGCATGTTGCTTAATAGAAATTGAAAGTTTACAAATGGGGTGCTGAAAAATTTGACGATATTCAATAAAAAAAAATTTAAAAACGAAACAAATACAACCGCATCGCATATGTAAACAATCACATTTCTTTGAAGTTTCATTTCCAAGACGCGGAAAACCACACGCTGTTGGTAAACATAGAACTAGATGATGCATCCCGCTAAGTATCCAGTACTTCGATATAAGCATGATGAAAATTATTTTCACTGTAAATCTTAATTGATGAATTATATAATTAAAAAGGAACTAAGTTTGCTACTCCCACAGAATAGGCCAAAGCATTAAAGGAAGTCTTATTTTTTAGATCGATTTCAAATTTGCAGATAATGTATTGAAATCCGTAAGATCAAGAAATATATATCAATTACACAAGATGTGGAATGTCATGACGTCACGATTTCGCCATAATTTTAGACTTTTTCATGAAAATAAAATAAATTCTGAATTAATGCAGTTTTCTATAAATATTTCCTTTGTGGAAACATTGTGCTCACTCAAAAAAAAACTAAATAGTTTTAGAGATGCTTCGTTATAGCTATTCATTTAATCTCACCAAACATTAAGTTGTTTCTCTAGGTGCACAAGTTTTTCCAATCCAAAAAATACTTAAAAGTAGATCGAAAAGAAGGAAAATAAAAATAAATACAAACGATATAACTGTCGTCTTGGTTTATTGCCATGGTACCTCGTCAAATTGAAATTATTTTCTAAGCACCTTTTACCGTAGCATTGTTAATATAAATTTAAGATCAAATTTGGTAACATTTAAATTTGCTGATTCCCAGTTGATAAGATATTCCAGAGCTTGCATTTTCCATAATGCTAGAGGGTTTCTGATGGCAAGGAAGCTATTGAAACAATGGTTTATGATTTAGTAGACTATAACTTGGTGAAACAGATAAAAGCATAATTGCCCCTACTCCGACCTTATATATTCTTGCCCCGTGGTAGATGCTGATACGAACTTTTTTATTGGCTTCCTTATAAAGGTTATTCCAAAAGCAGAAAGCATGTATCATGTGTGCTGAAATCGATATCAAAGGTCCATTCTTGTGCTTCATTTTATTTCAAGAAATGACAAGCATAAATTGATTTCTTTGATCAAAATGTCACCCTTATTTTTCTGTTCTAATATTTGCAATAATATTGCAGGAGATAAGAGAGCAAACGTAGTACCAGGACTTAGTTCTTTGCACACCATCTGGGTCCGCGAACATAATAGAATCGCCGACTATTTGAAGGCTAACAACCAGTGGACCGATGAGGTTGTTTTCAAAAATGCCAGAAAATTTGTTTCAGCAGAAATTCAGCATATTGTCTACAAAGAATTTTTACCTAAGATTTTACATCCTTTCTTTATGTTTATATTTGGTTTGAATCCGTTGTCTTCCGGATATTTCACTGGATACAATCCAAATGTGAAAGGTATTATCAGAAACGAATTTTCTACAGCGGCATACAGATTTGGACACAGTTTGTTGAGAGATCATTCCTTCTTTAACAGTGACTTACACACATTACACAACCAATTCAACAACCCTGACCTACTGTACCAGCCCCAGGGTATTGAAGGGTGCACAAGGGGACTATACAGTCACACATCTCAAGGAATGGATGAACTTTTGACTCCGGAAATAACTAACAAATTATTCCAGACAGCGCCCTTTAATGGAGGTGATTTGGCAGCTTTTAATATACAAAGAGGTCGTGATCATGGGATACCACCATATAGTAAAATGGTTGAAGCCTGTTTTGGGTCAGGATATGTAGCAACTAACTTCAATCCAGGTGTTTTCGGTGGACTGATATTCCACAGTGCAACTGCAGCAGCGAAACTAAGTTCGGCTTACAGGTACTAGTGACTTTTTTACATTAATTTTATTACACCCTTGCAGATATCCATATAACTTTTTCCCAGGCATTAGTGTAGCCATTTATACTTTCGGGGGGAGGGGAGGGTTTTCAGATGAGACTGAAAAATTTGAAGATTTTTTTTCATTGATTATTTGGAAATAAGTAATTTGTTTCTGAAAAAAATGGAAAAGGGTACAAATAAAACTCAAATTGAAACTAACATTTTTAAACTTCCTTTCTGAAACAAGATTATTTATCGTGCTTTACAGTGACCCCGCAGACATGGATTTATTTACTGCTGGTACTGCAGAAAACAGACTGTCTGGTAGTACACTTGGTCCAACATTCTCATGTATTATAGCATCACAATTCAAAGCCCTGAAGGATGGAGACCGCTTCTTCTACGAGTCAAACGTGGCTAATCCATTTACCACTTCTGAATTGAACAGCATCCGGCAAACTACTATGGCCAGAGTAATTTGTCAGAACACAGATATCACAAGTTTACAGAAAGATGTTTTCTACCGGGAAAACCCTATCACGTAAGTGTCATTATATAATGGTGATTAGACTGCATGGTTCTTTGCATATCCAACATCCGGTTAGTAATTTAAATCTCGTTGCAGCGGGGGACACACCTAAAAGGCTGTTATCCATGGCCTTCCTTTTAGTTGGTCTGCTCTTATGGAGTAAGCACAGACTACTACTATAACACTGTTGTGTTTTTTAATCTGTTAGATAAAAAGTAAAATCACAAAAATTCTGAACTCCGAGGAAAATTCAAAAAGGAAAGTCCCTAATCAAATGGCAAAATCAAAAGCTCAAACACATCAAACTAATGGATAACAACTGTCATATTCCTGACTTGGTACAGGCATTTTCTTATGTAGAAAATGGTGGATTAAACCTGGTTTAAATGACTCTAGATTAAAGGCGAGTATCTTCAAACTATCCGCCTGTGTGACAACGGGAAATGAATCTGAGATGTCTGACATTTTCATTTTGAAATGTGCGCTATCTCCCACTATCGCAGGTAGAAAATAAAGCGTGTTCGATAAATCTTCACACTGTTTTTTTATTTATCTATTTAAATTCAGTCTAACCCTAGAAAATCTATCACACCAAGAATCGTCTAGAAGATTTATGAGAGTATAATTTCATATAGATTCTACAAGTGCATCGAGTCTAATACGATATTTCTTCACTCGAGGGGCTTGGCGATCGTTTAAAATATCTTATCCTTTAACTGTCGAGTGTGGAAAAAAATCGTATTGCACGAGATTCAGAGTTGGAATTAGTGTCTTTAGGGATTTTTTAGACATTTGCATAGCAACCTTATCTTTCATGATAAATATCCAAACAGATGTGTTATTGTACTGTGTAACGTCAGCCAGCATGGTCGCCTTATTTTTTTTACGTGAAATCAAAATAGCAATTTCAGAGGAAAACAAGAAACTTTAACGTCACAATTGAATTATGATCAATGAAGAACTCAGATTAAACGAACCACAAGTTAATTATAAAATAATATTCAACCGGTCAGACAAGGTGTATATCTACTTAGCGTTAGAGAACTTTTTCTACCCCAATGCATGTCTTAAGATTGTTTTACCAAAAATAAACAATAAGTAACACCCCATCCCTTTGTATACCGGTAGCTTACTATACGGTATGAGTTTCTCTCATTGTTTAAGGGTGTACGGTAACCTGCAGTTTGCTCCCTTGTCCTATTGACTTTGGTTGATAGCTGTCTTGTTGGCTGTCATACCATATCTCCTTATTTGCATGTCTTATAATCTTATTTCTTGTAATTTTAGTATCTTCCAAGATCCACATTTTAATTTATATTGTTTGTCTTTTACAGTAACCAGATAGTAAACTGTAATGACATAACAGCTTTACCTCCCTTGAAACTGCCATGCACACCGAAACATGGTGGATGGAGTTCATGGAGAAGAACGAGTTTTTGTATTGAAAGACGATATTGTACAATGCCACGACCAAATGACTGTGGAAATCCTTGTTCTGGAAGAAAAAAAAGAATTACTTGCATCCTGAATCCTGCTACTCGTAAGCCTGCAACTCTACGGCCTTCAAGATCTGAGATATTGGACTTTTAAATTTGCATTTTAACCTTATAATATAAAGGTGATGCTTCTATTGTTTTGTCTGTCCTTTAAAAGGATAAACTTAGTAAAGTTAAATCAAGTAATTTTATGGTTAATTTTTTTTTTCTGTTATGGTGATTTTTAAATAAATACTTCATTTTTAAGTAATAAATTGCCGTTTTCAACTCTACTTGTTCTTTCCTTAAAGACCTTTCTTAAAGACCTTCTTGTAATTTCTGAGCCTATGTTTTACCTGCGGTGATGAAATATTACATGTCAAACATAACCCTTACAGGGTATACTGTATTTATGTTATAAAATAAAGATTGTATCGGTATTATTTTTAGAAAAAAAATCTTATTTTGTGATCTTAGATTTTATATAATAAAGATGTCATGGTTAACATGATACAAAATGATATATCTTAAGATTTTTTAATAACGACCAAATGGTCTGATAGAGGTGGAAACTCTGCCAATAAAACAACATTGGATATTATAGAAAATAAATAGATATCAGAATGTAAGAAAACACCAATATATTCACTGGTGAACATTTATACGAAAATCATAATTTGGATGACAAAAAAAATCAAAATCAAGTAACAAAATAATGATCCTCTACAGCAGAGTACAGAAAACAGAAAGGAGCAACATGAACCTTGTTAAAAATTATGGCTCAAGTAATTTGTTGCAGAAAGATAAGCATTGTCTGCTCTTTTAGTTGGACCTTTCGGCAAACCTCGACAGTTTCTACTTCATTCGGCAAATCTTAGCAGATTCCGCTACCCTAAATCCAAATCTGTCGAGGTTTGCCGAATGTTATGCCTCGTTCACACGTACATTTAATTCGAATTGAATGCCAATCGAATTCGCTAATCGCGTTCACACACTCTTCTTTTTTTAATTCGAATCGAATTCGAATTGGCTAATTCGCATTATCCAATTCGCATTAGAAATGCGCCGTTTTCGTTAATGCGAACTAGTTGATTCGCTTCAATTCGAATTTAACTGTGGACGGTGTGGACAGCTATTGAGGCCGAGTTATCTGGGACTCACAGGAACCGACACGATTTCGAAAAAAAATCGTATAAAATGAAGGAGCATGGATATGTAAGATCCTGGGATACATACAGAACGAAAATAATAATTCTCCGAGTACAATACCTTAAAACAAAACAGCAGAACAATACATCAGGACAAGAAAGAGCAAAATTTGCATACTGTGAGGAGATCGATAAATTCATGAGATATTTCAAATTTGATCCTAGCACCCTCTATAAAAATCAAATGGTTATTCCCTAAAGAAGAAGTTTTTTAAGAAGTGATAAATCTAGGCAAAATTTCAAAGACAAATCGAAAGATTTCTAATTCGTTTAACAATGGTTTGTGCAAAATAACAGGGGAAAATTGTTCTTGGAAAAAAAATAGGAAAACACTAGCCCTACTATTGAAATGAGAAGGAAAAATGATTCCGATAAATGCCATATCAGATCAAGAGAGCAAGTTTGCAGATGTTATTGGCTCTACAATGGTTGTTTTGTTTTGTTTTTAATTATAATCAATTAATTGATAATGCGAATTAATATTTAACGTCGTTCGGACAGTAAAACGAATTCGACGCGCATTGTAATTCGTATTAAAATTTACGTTCGAATGTACAACGTTTCTAATGCGAATTAAACTAATTCGAATTAGTTAATGCGAATCGAATTCGAATTACGTGTGAACTTAGCATTAGTTGAGTCTGTCATATTCGATGATAAGTAAAGAACGAAAAACAAAGTAGAGATTTTAACAGAAGCAAATTGAACATATACGTGGTTATCAAATTTATCAACAAAGAAAGTTTGTAAGGAATGTGTATGTCAGCAACGAGGGAGGCAGATATATATATATATGTTCAAATCAAATCGAAAATTAACTACGATTGAGGTATTTCAATACCAATGGCTTATTTTTTGTCTAAACGTTTTATTACTATAATTTATAAGCTTGTACAAGGAGACCAGTTTTATCAGTTACCGTAAAACTGGCTGTTGCGAACTCTTGTTTGATCATTTTAGGTTCCAAACCTGTATACATAATCTCTTCACTAGTCAGACTTGAATGCAATCTGAAACATGAATAATTGTATGTTGAGGCTTATGGTATATCAATGCTTAGGAAAGTAAATTGAACAGACGTCGTAATGTTCATCAATTTTATGGAGAGTGTCTAGTCTATTCGTAAGACTCACTTTCGTTGAAATAACATCGTTCTACATTTATCTATAAGTGCAATTGAAGGATTTGAGAAATTTTCCATGAACCAGTAATTGTTTCTGAGTTGCTTCTCATAGCAATTATTCTCACAAGATTAATCAGACAATTTCTGCTATCATTGAAACCATTTAAGATCATTGATCACAACTGAAGATTAATTTTGACTATAAAATATACACATGTCATCTAATACTGGGACAAATTTACCAGGGATATTTTGTACACTACCTTTTCAGATTTCACAGGCTTAAGTAAATAATTATCCTTATATGGTATGATATGCATCGTTCTCTACAAGAACTGCAATTGGTTCCACTTTTATGAAATAAATGAAACATGCAATAAAAACATACACTTTGTTATAGGCCTGGTATCTTTAATGAGTTTTGATATGTTCTATAAATGCATGTCGATTATGGTCTACGATGACTCGATGAAAACTATATACACTTCATAGACAACAAAAGTTGTTCAGATTTAATCTATAGCTCAGTACCCGATGGTATATTCTTCCCACTAAACAGTGCTTCAGCACTAGAACTGGAATCATGAATTTAAATTCTACTTTTTGTAAATTTTCTTTTCCCAAACTTGGTAATTGTATTAAAACAGAGGTTGCAACCACCTCAGAAAAAAGTTGACCGATTTTGGCGGCTTTTAACTTTTATTCTCTAGCACGCATATTTTAGGGTTGTGTGTGTTTTTCTTTTATAAGAACACAAAACCAAAAGAACCTCTCAATAGTACAGATATAATTTAATTGTAATTTTATTAAACTAAATCATTGACTAAACTCAGATGATCATGAAATAGATTTTACATGTAAAATAGATTCTGCTTGTATTTTTTATACATATTTTTTTTTTTTTTTCTTTTCTTGAAAAAAATACATCTCATCTCATTAATCTTTTATCATTCATCTTGTACACATAATGTACAGAATAATTTTCTTTAGTGAATATTGGCAGTAATTGCAGGTAAAAGATAGGCGAATGATACCAAAGGGACTTTTAAACTTATAAGTCGAAAATAAACAGACAACGTCATGGCAAAACACGAAAAAAGACCAACAGACAGACAATAGTATACAAAACACAACATAGAAAACTAAAGACTGAGCAACACGAACCCCACCAAAAGCGGAGTTGATCTCATATGTGATCTGGAAGGGTAGGCAGATCCTGCTCCACATGTGGCATCCGTCGTGTTGCTCGTGTAAGTATAAACCAGGTAATAAGTCTAATTCGGTAGGTCACATTCAATGAAAAGAGGACGCTGTTACGACAATTGGAACATATCCGTCCTCATCTGTGAAAGATATTCCAAAACGGCCAACCAACTCGTGATGGCGTGCGTAAAATTTTCAAAGGGATGATTTCAACTTCACCACTAACGCTCGTACTTAACCATGAAGAAAGGGATTATCATTCTCTTACATATACAAAGAGTTAGATATTAACTGTGGTCAATCAGGAGCTAGATATAGATATGCTGTTCCCAGGGTCACTTTAGATTTGAATTAAAGTGATGTTTCAATTAAAATTTGCACCATTGAATGTAATTGTTTGTTAATCATGACAGTAAGTGTTTTCAACTTCACTGGTATACATGTATATCAGTACTCTTACTTAAAATCAAAATAACATATTATCCCGCAAATAGACACAAGAGTTAACACGCTGAAATGTCTCGCCTGCTTTACTTATCATAATTGAATGAATGCTGTTACTGCAAGTATCACATAAACTTAACATTATCAAGGATCCATTTAAATGAGGTCAAGGTCAGATGAACCCTGCCAAACAGACATGTATACCTAACAATCATACTATATACCAAATATAGTTAGCCTATTGCTTATAGTATCTGAGAAACAGACTTAATTACTAAAATGAACCATAAAAATGAGGTCAAGGTCAAGGTCAGATGAACCCTGTCAGATAACATGTACACCATGCAACTATACACCTTATCGCTATTTGTCCGCCATTACTGGATTTCCCGTAAAATTTTGACGTCATAATAGAAAACATCTGACGCCACAATGGAAAAGTGATTGTTGTATGACGTCAAAAGTTCGAGCGGGACAGATTCTCGGGTCACGCGGGAATAGCGATATAAGGTGTATTACATACGTCAAATATAGTTCACCTTTTGTTTATAGTATCTGAGAAACCGTCTCAACCATGAAAACTTAAAGTTAAAATGCCCCTATTTCAAGGAGAATAAACTCACGAAAACACGAAAAATTCACTAAATTCGCGTTCATTGTTTTGATTTTGCCCGCCTGACAACTTTACGGAAATATCAGAGTGATTATAAACAAGGACTCTGTGAAGGGCAACTTATAATATCCGTGTTTTAAAGATTTTAATGATATCAAGCCAGTCCAGTTCAAACTATTATCACGTGGTACAATTCTCATTTACATATTATGAATATTAATTAGCAAAAGTACTACTAATTTCTGGCTATGTTGACTAATGAAATATGAAATTGAGGTTAAGGTCAGATGAACCCTCCAGACAGACATGTACGCCTTACAATCATTCTAGGCACTAGATATAGTTGAAATATTGATTATAGTATCCATACATGGACAAAACAATGAAAACTTTACATTAATCAATGAACCATTAAAATGAGGTCAAGGTCAGATGAAACCTGCAAGACAGACATATACACATTACAATTATTCCATACACCTAATGTAGTAGCCCATTAGAATCTGAGAAATGGATCTATAAACCCCCAAAAAATAACATTGACCCTTAAACCATGGAAATGAGGTCAGGGATAGACAGAAACTATGTAACATAAGGCATCTGCATACACAGTATAATGAAGCACCCAGGTCTTCTATCTACTGAAATATAAAGCTTTATACACATAGTTTACACCATCGTCACCAATGCCACCGCTGGATAGTAATTTCTATGTCTCGCATTCTGGGATGAAAGTCATAGGCAAGACAAAAACTAATTACAAACATATTTAAAGATATAACATCGTTGGTGAGGCAGACTCTTAGGGATAGAAAAATGGAATAATAATATTTGAAAAAAGTGAGGGAATTCACTTTGATATCGACAAGCAGTTTCAATTTTTTTTTCAATCACTTAAACAAGCATATGATACTCATAATATACTTTCATAGTACTAATATCAACTGCTTAAATTTTATATCTTACCTTATCAAATTAATTTATAAATAGTATAGCATTTCATGACTTTTGATTTACTAAAGAACTTTTAAAAAATTCAATAGCTCTTTTTTAAATTTTGGCAAAATTACATTCAAAACTTGGTAGAAGATTAAAAGACCTTTGCAAGTCATTTAAACACATCATAAAACACATCTATGGTATCATGATTGGAGTTGTAATGCATTCCTTTAATTTGATCCTTATCAATATTTCGCCACTTCCATTCCCTAAATATTTCTTTAAACTACTTTACATCATTACCATCATAGCACCCTTTTGCAAAATAGAGCAGTGACTAAGAACCGCAAAGCCAGTGAAAAATCAGCATTTCCTTTTAAAAATTGTATTTGAATACATTGTTCCACAATACCTTTTTACTCCTGATAATTTATTTTATCCAGGTTTTGATCAAAGATTGAGATGTCTGTTAACCACCAATTAGCACACCTCTGGCGACTGAGCCATGCCTCTTTCATACTAGTTACTTTGAGGAACGAACCACTAGTCCATTCCCCATCTTGTATTTTAAAAATATTTATATATTCTGCAGGATTTACTGGAAATTTACAAAGAGAAAAAACCTACTTACACTGCCGTTAACAAATATTTATACACATTTTCTCAAAAGTCAACACTGTAGAGAAAAGAAAAGGGCAATGAAGACACCATGTGCACATTAAAGAACAGAAGAGTCAGCAATTTTTTCACATTTTAAAAGATTGATATTTCATCTTCAAAAGGCAAATACAATATCAGTCATTTAGGACTTACTCAATCAGCACTAGTTCATTTAGTAGTTGTTGGACCATTGTTTTAGCTCATTTAACATATATTTTTAATGTTCCAGATGAAAAATTGTCTCACAAATGTCCAAATATTTGTAAATAACCTATATGCTTGCTGAATAAGGACAATCATACCTATTTCAGTAATCCCAAAGTAGCTGTCAAATCTACTGTGATGGGATAGGGACAGAAAACCTGTCCCAAAAAGGAATATAATCATCTTTGAATAATTTTTCTGTAATGCATGTTATCAGGTCTCTATTTTTATTTTTCTATTGCAGTTTAAAATAGAATAATTTTATAAATGGAAAATGTGTCCCCATGGACACAGATGATGCCCCCGCTTGCATACAACATTATAAAGGGACATAACTCAAAAACAATAAAAGTGACGCTACCCAAATTTGTACTAGATCTGAGTTTTGTGGTAATAAGTATTGTGTATAGGTTTCATAATGTTTGGTTGGAGCAAACTTAAGTTACATAAAGGAAACTCAAATTTTGCAACTTTTCGATTTATAAAGGGCATAACTCGATAATGGTTAAAGTGATGCCACCAAAATTCAACTTGATCTGTGTTTTGTGGTAATGAGCATTGTGTATAAGTTTCATAACATTTGGTTGAGGCAACTTAAGTTAGAGAACGGAACCTAAAAATTTTGCATTTTTTTTTCCATTTATAAAGGGGCATAACTCGAGAATGGTTAGTGACCCCACCAAAATTCAATCTTGATCTGTTTTGTCGTAATAAGCATTGTGTATAAGTTTCATAACATTTGGTAGAGGCAAACTTAAGTTAGAGAACGGAAACTAAAAATTTTGTAATTTTTTCATTTATAAAGCGGCATAACTCTAGAACGGTTAGCGTGACACTACCAAAATTCAAACTTGCTCTGCATTATGTGGTAATAAGCATTGTGTATAAGTTTCATAACATTTGGTTGAGGCAAACTTTAGTTAGAGAACGGAAACTAAAAATTTTGGAATTTTTCCATTAATAAAGGGGCATAACTCTAGAACGGTTAGCGTTACGCTACCAAAATTCAAATTCGATCTGCATTATGTGGTAATAGGCATTGTGTATAAGTTTCATAACATTTGGTTGAGGCAAACTTTAGTTAGAGAACGGAAACTAAAAATTTTGGAATTTTTCCATTAATAAAGGGGCATAACTCTAAAAAGGTTAAAGTGACGCCGCCACAATTCAAACTTGATCTGTATTTTGTGGTAATAAGCATTGTGTATAAGTTTCATAACATTTGGGTTAGGCAAACTCAAGTTAGAGAAAGGAAACCAATTTTGGGACGTACGGATGTACGTACGTACGTACGTGCACACGGACAAGGGTAAAACTTAATGTCCCCTCCGCTACGGTGGGGCATAATAAAAAAATTACAAATAACTAATCTGTTAACTTCTATGTCATTTGTTCTATAGTGGAGAGTTGTCTCATTGGCAATTATACCACATCTTCTTATTTTTATATAATTGCCTGGAAATACAATTACATCAGCTAAATCCTCTTACTTTTTTCCCTCTTTAATCAGACTAGATTTACTTCTTAAGGTCATGTAAGGATAAAAAAATCTTTTCACAGAGAATTCAAAAGTTTCAGACAACCAACATATTCATACCATTATCATGACAATATAGGTATCCTATGATTAAAAAGATTGAAACCAGCTTTGAAAGTTTTATTGTAACTGAAACAAATAATACATGCATTAGGAATGTAGTACGCCCTGAGTTAAAAAAAATTATACAGGCAAAAACATTCAATAATAAAAACCTTCATAACAGAACATTAAAACAAATTGTTTTATCCAAAGCATTCATTCTTTGATATAAAATGAAGTCATTTATTCAATATGCCATTTGAAGTTTGTGTCCATAAATAATTTGAAGTTTGTGTCCATAAATAATAAATAAATTGCAGATTCGTTGAATCAACAAATACAAAAAAAAATAAAAAAATAATAACATTGAAAAGGAGAGAAGGCAAGAAAAATATAAAAACACAGAAGTTTGATTCCTGCTCAAGTATCACATTCTGGACTTGGTCAATAGGCCAAATTTGTAGATATTCTTATGACCAGTACAATAATATGAAGAATTCCTGATGTATTTTGTCACAACAGAATTAATTCATTAATGTCATAGAAAAGTTTAAAGAGATACGATCTACCATAAAAAGGCATTTTTAAAATATTATTTTATGACTGAAAATGAATGATAGCTTTGCAAAATTAGATCAAATAACACTTCTGCATTGATTTTTACAACACTTGTAGAAATTCAAAACAGTGGAAAACTATTCCTGAATTAATGTGTAGATAATAATATTATGTCTAAGCTTGGCCCCCTCTTTGCTGTTGAAGCTCAGTTAAATGACTAAAATTTCAAAAATAGACATAAAGGTGTTTCATTTCACTAAATAAAAATACTATATTATTGATTTCCTTCAACTAGGTACCAAAACATATCTGTTTAATTCAATCAGTAAAGTCAACAAACTAGAAAAGTTACTTTGAAAGTTTTTTGTTGATTTTTTTATTAAATAATTTTGCATTATACCTATGTTGTTGTTTTTTTTTTTATTTGCATGGTTGAAGCCTCTAATAGTTTAGTGAATATTTAGTTATTTCAAAATGTGAGTAGATCATATCTCTTTAGTCAAAAACAGCTGTGTCCTTTTAAATAAGAAAACTTTGGTATAGCGAATAATCATACATGGATGGTATACAGTTTAATCTAAACATATGCCATACTATTATAATACAAATATAAAAATTTGTGACTTTCATTTTTAGAGAACGTTGTGAAAGTCACTGAATTCTGAAAATAAGATTAGATGAATCTTGAAATTTTCAAAATTCTTAAACTTTGATACTATGCGTAGTTTTACATTCAAATTAACAAACATCTTTAAAATACCTAGACATTCTGGACCCTTATAGAATATATGTTATCTAATGTAAGCCCATATATTATATCATTATAACTGTTTTAGAGATTCAACTTTCTATCAGATCTTTGCTCTTTGTAAAAAACTAAACAAAAATCTTCTTCATTTAAGTAATCAGATCATTCCTAAGCTGTCATAACCTTCAGGTGTAATACCACCAAATCATAGTACGTCACATCCGGTTGCATACGAAAATAGGTCGAAAAAAAATATTCCCTTGAATTTGACAGTTGTAGGTAATTGATCCTACATTTCATTGCAGTAAAACATTTCTGGGTCATAAACATATATCTTGGGTATTTCAAAGCACCATTATTTTTTTATTTGGGGTTTCTATAGAATATTTTGGAAACTTGAGGTTACATGGTTACTAAAGCTTGTACACAGGTTAAGAAAGGGGGAAAATTTGATTGGTTAACTTCCAGTGATGGTTATTTTCTTATATGCAATGAAATGTTATGTGAATTTTTTTCTATAGTACTGGACAGGATAAAACTTTACTCATGCCAAGTATTTCTTTATTTGAAACAAAGATAAATTCTGCACAATTTTTTGAAAAGTGCAAATTTAACAAAGACTAATAGGGGAAAATCAATGGTGGTATTACACCTAATATGGGAAGCTGTACATGCACCTTTGACCTTGTGAGTACTCTCATGTGTTAAAATTTCTTGCTATTTAAGTGAAATATTACAAATAATGAAATATTCTGAGTGGATTGAGTCTCCAAAACACATTTTATGAGAAAATTTCCTTGAAATAGGACTTTACCATGAATATTAGTTTACAGAACAAGCCATACTTAGAGTATTGGGGAGTTTTTTCTCCTTATTTCTTATATTCTGCCATACCAGAAAATTTTTCCTAAGAAATACTTTAATAAATATATAGTTTTAAGTAAATGAAATTATTTTAAAAGCAGTAACAACAAATTATTCACCAAAAGAGAAGCTTTTTATGTCCCTCTCTGGAACGCGGCATAAATTTAAGTTTTACGTAAGGACTTATTGAAACCTCCTTGGAGACAGTAAACTTTTATACGGATAGTTCGTTCAGCTTGAATACTTCAATTAATCATTTATTATAACATTTCTATCATAAATGAGTGAAAGTTACCCCAAAATTTTTATTTATTGGCCTAAAAAGTAGAAATTTTGAGGAAATTAGAGGTATAAATGGACCAAAAGAGACCTTATAAGGAAGACAAAGAAGTCCATTAGTAGTATTTATCATCCTAAAGTCATCTTTTGTATCATATTCAACTGTTTGTAGGCAGATGAGATAAATATTTGATCATTTATTGGTCCACACTATATTCTATCATGATGCGGCTTGGTTTGGATTTTTCGAAGAAATTTTGCTCGAATCGCTGTAGATGTCGTCTTACATTATACTAGATTTTTCTCAAACTATTGAACTGATTATGACAAAACTTGACAGGAATGCTTGAAATAACCAGTATTACAAAGGAAAAAAGTCACATTCAGTTTATTTAACAAAAAAGTCTTCTTTAGGTGTAATACCACCAAATCATAGTACGTCACATCCGGTTGCATACGAAAATAGGTCGAAAAAAAATATTCCCTTGAATTTGACAGTTGTAGGTAATTGATCCTACATTTCATTGCAGTAAAACATTTCTGGGTCATAAACATATATCTTGGGTATTTCAAAGCACCATTATTTTTTTATTTGGGGTTTCTATAGAATATTTTGGAAACTTGAGGTTACATGGTTACTAAAGCTTGTACACAGGTTAAGAAAGGGGGAAAATTTGATTGGTTAACTTCCAGTGATGGTTATTTTCTTATATGCAATGAAATGTTATGTGAATTTTTTTCTATAGTACTGGACAGGATAAAACTTTACTCATGCCAAGTATTTCTTTATTTGAAACAAAGATAAATTCTGCACAATTTTTTGAAAAGTGCAAATTTAACAAAGACTAATAGGGGAAAATCAATGGTGGTATTACACCTTCAATTTTAAGCTTGAAGACAGATTCTTTCTGTACAAATGACAATTACAAGTTCAAATAAAATTACCAGATATATATATATATATGTGTGTGTGTGTACATTCAACTTTTGAATAATATTAAGATTTGCAGAAAGTCCTTTTGTCTGAGATTAACAATTTATACGTGTAAAAATTGTAGAAGTAAATCAAATGTACTTTTGTATTGAAAAAAATCTAACACTACTCTCTCATTAAAACACATTACCTATATATAGAAATTATATATATAAGGATTTATTTTCTTAACCCAAATTATAAATGTCATTTCAAATCACTCATGCACATATAATTTTATTCAAAAACTATCAGTATCTCTTACCACTTTCAGACATCAAAAGAAATCTTTGCTAAATACATGGAAGCCTTCACTTAAGCTCTGAGACAACGCTTTAATGATAAATAATTCATAACTTTTTATGCCCAATGAAAAATCATCATCCAATATCACATGACATATAGAGATGATACAAAGATTGCAAAATAAAGTGTTGATTTCAGATCTCTGCTGAGTAACATTGCACATAGACCACTTAAAGCCACAATAGATAACTTGGCCACTAACGGCCATTTAGCCAACTTGGCACGTGAGCAGTAAGGCCAATCCTGGCAAGGAAGATTTCAGCACTATAACGAGGAGTATTTGACATTCCTGTAGTGTTTATTCATCCTGTATCTTCTTCAACCCAGGCTACTATCTGTCCTTCCCATCCTGGTACTTTATCATCATCACTCATTACCTGAAATAGTTATTACTTATTATATATACTGTTTTAAGTTTGGGAGAGAAATTATCAAATGATGTCTAAAAATATTTAAATTCAATAAGTTAACAATACATGTATAAGATGTATAATATTTATCACTGTTAGATGATTCTGTTCTATAAATAAACTAGTTAGTTTTCTCAATTGAATTGTTTCAGTTTTTTTCATGTAAGGGCCTTTTATAGCTGACTATACAGTTGTAATTGCTTACCCAATTCATTTGAACTTTGGTGGATAGTTGTCTCATTGGCAATCATACCACATCTCCTTATTTTTATATAGATTCAGACTGTAGTAGAATTACCCAACGTGCATGAATTTTTACAGTGTTCTGTGTCACACAGTTCAACATTGTGTGTAGAAAGAACTACTGATTTTTTGTATCATGTAATTTCTTTTGCTATTGGATAAAGGGCTATTTGTTATTTGTATAAGTATATTTCCTGAAACAATTATTATAGAAAGGAATAGTTTTCGATTTTGTCAGAACACAATTCATTAATTTGACAGTTCAGGAAACGAGGATGGTGACTTTGTGTAATACATGAAGTAATTGCTTTGTTTAGTTATTCATAACTGTCTTGTTTCGCCATATGTATTATAAAAATCTTTACCTCTTCCTTTACTGTTCCAAACTCCGGATCTAATGCTTTAAATGAGTATCTATAATTTCCTTTCACACTTATATGATCTTTGAAGTCTTTCAACGTTATTTCTCCTAATCTGAAAAATAATTCATAATGGACTTTTAAAGATTTCTACGCATAACCAGTGCTTTCTTTTGTGGTAACTGATACTTAAGAAATTTCCCTGTCAAACATATTTAAATTTTAACGTGAAAAATGTAGAAAATCTGAAAGCTTTTATAATTATTCCTAATAAGTAGGACTATTTACCTTAAGCACTCGACAATAAATCTTAATGAAAACTTTAAAATAACACAATTGAAGGCAACGTATAGGTAATTGGGCACTTTTTCTGATTTTTTAGATTTTGTATATGCATTTAAGATTTATTTAGCTTATGAATATATAAACGAAAATAATAAATGAAGCATTTATACTCCCAGAGATAAAATCAGTTAAAAATTTGTAACTTGACTTATGAATGTATAGAATGCACATAAAACATGTTAAAAATGCTATTTTTCCACTTTAAATTGTTATTTCTTGAAACTCCATGAAATGAATTTTGTTTAAAAACGATGTGCTATAGTTGTGAACATTTCCATTTAAATAATGAATAAACATCTTAATAAAAGTATCAAATAATCCTTATGTTCAGGAACTGTCTTAACAGATGCATTTTCAAATGTTGAGCATAAATTTCATAGATAATACACAAACTATATGCTACCTTTTTACAGGTAAACAATAATGTGTCCATAGTACATGGATGCCCCACTCGCACTATCATTTTCTATGTTCAGTGGACCGTGAAATTGGGGTTAAAACTCTAATTTGGCATTAAAATTAGAAAGATCATATCATAGGGAACATGTGTACAAATTTTCAAGTTGATTGGACTTCAACTTCATCAAAAACTACCTTGACCAAAAACTTTAACCTGAAGCGGGACGGACAGACGGACGGACGAACAAACGAACGAATGGATACACAGATCGAAAGACATAATGCCTCTCTACTATTGTAGGTTGGGCATAAAAATAATATAAAAACTTACCTTTTATGAATGGTACACATACTAGGATTAACTGTTCTATCAGTAAAATATAGCACTTTTGTCGTGGGCTGAGGATTTAACTGTTTGGTTCTTGATGATGGATTGTCTAATTGATTTGCAGAAAAACCTAGAATTGAAATAATTAGAGGTAAACATAATCAATGCAGTCTTATGAAAGGATAAAATGATATGGATACAAAGTTTTAAAATAACCAATTTGTTTTGTATTATATAAATCTAAAATAAAATAAATTGGATTATATTCAGGGATCGTCAAAATTTTCTGCTAAGCAAAGGTCAATTTTAATCAAGTGAATAGGTTATCAATTAATTTTCTTTATTTAATTCATGACATTTAAAATTTCAGGCAAAGATGACTACAGGTTTGAAGCTGCTAATGTGAAGTATGTTTCATTAATTGGTTTATAGTTGCTTATTGTAATGTAAATATACGGGATGAGAACATGTGAGTTATATAAATACATCAGGCTCTTAGATCTTGGAGTTTGAGCAACATTTTTCTTTGCCCATAACCCTCAACCAATCTAACTCCAACATTCGCCGTCCTTTGGTCTTACTTCTGAGTGTTGCATGCCTAATAGAGGCATAGTAAATATCAATTTCAGTCTAGGTATTGGACTGGCTAGGGAATTGACATACCACCTCCTACAATGGAGGTGAACATGCTACTATAAGGCCATCATGATGGTCCAATTTATGCATGTGTAATTCATAACTTTGCAAGAAAGGATGGCTTTTCACATTCTTCTTGTTATTTTTATACTACAATGATTTATCTTAAAGCACTGCAAATAATACGGACCATTATTAGTTTAAATATAATTTAATGAAGACGGCTATGAAGAAAAAAATTTAAGCAAGCAATTTATTTTTACGAGTAGTGACCAATGACAATTGAGTTTTATCTAATCTTTGCTGTGCCATTTACATAGGTGTTGTGCAAAACATACATATTTTGTGCAATACTCAGCCTAAAATATTGCTTCTTTCCAAATTTCAATAAAAGCCTATCACATTCACACAATTCCAGGAAAACATGCATAGAAGACAAGACAGCATTCATTGCAGGGCCAAATGTATAAATTAAATACTAACAAATAGATAGGTTTCCATTGACCCATTTTGGATCAAGAGTTACTTCCCATTTGTTGCCATGTTGGTGGTCTATGTGCACACATTCCTTAATAAATCAGCCAAATTCAATTTGTTAAACTGACACTAGACTCTATAAATAGTTGTTTTCTGAAATTTTTCTATTTCTTTTAGCATTGATTTATCACTACGATTTAGTACGGATCTTTAATCCAGACTTGTTTCAATTTGGTTAGTCAAAAACCATTTACTCTTCTATAATGGGGGAAATAGCTAAAAATCAAATTATGTCAAAGGCACATATCTACACCCCTAGTGTATATTTTCCTGGAATATCCCTACATTTATACACCTTATTACAGTGCTCCCTACACAATACACAACACTCACTTGGATTACTACCTGGTATAGAGGTGATTGGTGAACGTCTGACATCTCCAGTCGAATCAAAATTTAAACGTCTAGAGGTGACATGTTCATATGTATTCTGAAAAAAATTCCATAGCTGTTTTATTCAAACTATGAGCTACTTCTCACTACTGATATACCCACTATAAGTATTTGGTTAACAGGAAATTGATTAGTGAAAAATGTGAAAAAGCTTTACATTTTGTAGAATGCTAACATAAAGCTTAAATCCAATTTTCAGAAAGCCTGATTTACAGTTCCTGAAAAAAATGCTACACAAATTTACTTAAAAACTTATGTCCTGGGAATAAAATGCTAATTTAGTATTATAGTAATGTGTTATTATAACTTTTTAAATAAAGATTGGCTGTTATTTTGTTTGAACAGAAAGACTTCTCATAGAAAGACACTAATCATATTTTCAGTAACACGCCACACTTTAAAAAATGTTTTAATCATGTATCTAACGCCACAGCAATTATTTTATTCAAACTATGTATTAAGCCTGAAAATGTTTTGAGTTTTATCTACCCAATACAAAAGCAAAGATAAGTATAAAACTTTAAATACAAAACAAAATAGATGGCCTTCAAAGATATCCTCAAGAGACTTAAAACCATCTTGTGGTTTTGATGTTTCATAATTAGATACTTTTTTGGATACATTTTCAGATTTAAAGTCCATTTAAATAATTTTCAGAAGTAATTTCAGATACATTGTGTAATTTTTCAGGTTATCACAATATTATGTCTCTTTGTTCAAAACCTAACCTGAATGTAATAAAAATGCTATATTAATATAAAAAAAAATCCACTGGTTTAATCTTTCCACAAAAGAATGTTTAATAGGGTCCATGATACTTACTTGGCCATTGGAAACAGTAGATAAATTATTAGGTTGTTGTATTTTATCTAATAATGAACAAACAAAGTGTTCAACAGAGTCTAATTTATGTTGTTGAGGATCTGAGGTTTTGAAATTCAGTCGTAAACTGTGTATTGCATCACGAACAACATGAAGATCTTCTCCTGACTGAAATATAAATGCCAAAAATCACAAGTTTACCATGAAATGTGATGTATGTCTTGTCATTAGCTTAATGAAGCAAGTAAATTCAGTAAAATATTTTGAATTGCCAACAGTATCCATAAATGGTAGTTTTAAACCCAGCAAGAATAGTTTCAGAGGAAAACATATCATTGTGTATGAATATAAACTAATATAAACTCTGCTAACTAGTAAGCCAACATGCTGAGCCAGGTTTTTATTGTTCTATTATAGCTCAAAAGGTACAAGTCTCCATGGTTGTCAGGTTGTCATTTGTTGCTGTATATCATGTTTGTTTTATTGTTCTATTATAGCTCAAAAGGTACAAGTCTCCATGGTTGTCAGGTTGTCATTTGTTGCTGTATATCATGTTTGTTTTTCTTTATTGTTTTGTACATAAAAAAGGCCGTTAGTTTTCTCGTTCGAATTGTTTGGCTTTGTCATTTCAAGGCTTTTAACAGCTTGCAATGTGGTGTGGTTTTTGCTCATTGTTGAAGGCTGTACAGTAACCTATATTTGATGACCTTCTACGTCATTTGGTCTCTGGTGGAGAGTTGGCAGTCATACCACATCTTCTGATTTTTATCTTAATGAAGAGCCTGAGCTTGTTTTTCAATAAGTACTTTTATAACTTCTTTACCACAGCTTACAAAATCCATGTTAAGTATTCCAGTCATAAAAATTCATGCACAGTTTCTACAAAAAAACTCCACTTCATACTATAATATTTGTATTTTGTATTTTGTTTATACTACAAATATTGAAGAGCACACAGATATTTTGAAAATTATATATATTGAGAGATATACTTACATTTCCTCCAGGAGTGGCCTCCCTTTGATGGGGATCGCCTGTCTGTAAAATTTTTCCTTCTAACTTGGCCATTCTTTTGTCTTGAGATGCTACTCTTGCAGACAATGTGGCCTGTAAAATTGAGAATCAATTTAAGAAAAAATATTTAAATATGTGTTCTTGTAATTCTCTTATTCAAAGAGTATTAGTTAGTGTAAACACACAATTTTTTATTGTGAAAATAATAATATAAACATTACAATATGACAGTTTTATTATGATTGGAAAACAAGTGAATTTTCAAAAAGTATAAGTTGTGTAACTATTGAAATATAGAAGACACTAAATCATTGATTATTCTTTTCTATCTATTGTACAAAAATAATAACCATTGGAGGTTACGCATGTAAGTCAATCTTGTATAATTCTACTGATTAACCATATAGATAGACAATATCATCAATATCATTTTATTGATATGTTACAAAAAACATATTATATCTAGAATAAAGCAAAGTTAAAAAGTTAATCAAAGCAATTTGCTTACCTGTCCCCTTTGATAATCGCAAGATTCAAAATACTTCTACATATTGTTATTTTGGTCTTTTTTTATATTTACAATTATATCTAACATAAAAATCTTACCCCACGTTCTCCAACCAAACGTAACCTCTCATGCAGGTCAGATATCTGCTGTTTTAATGCTCGTGTTACAGATTCTTTTTCTTGGATTGTAAGCTGGATATTGTTTTGCAATTGGTCAACTTTTTGGTCTCTTCTTATAATCTCTTTCTAAAAATAATAGAAAATAAAAAATGTTATGTTAGTGACTTTTGTCCAAGTAAAATTCTGATCAAAATCAATAACATTTGATATTCTAAACAATCTGAAAACAAGTTATCCATATTCAAATTTTTACTTTCCATATCGATCAATTATCCTTTTTAATTCAAGCTACATTTAATTCAAATGATATTCTAATGAAAGATTGAATTAAATTTCTTTACAAATTAATTTGTTCTCCAACCATATGTTTTTTTCATAAAAAAAATACATAATTATATATACTTACTCTTAAATCTGATATTGTTTTATCTCTATCATAAACCTTCATCTTTAATTCACCCTATAATTAAAGTAAAATGAATGTTTTAATTACTGTTTAAAGTAAAAAAATCATACATTATAAATTTTTGAGAATTACTTCCCTTGGACCACAAAAGACTCCACATTTGCAGTGGCAAAATCTTCATTCATAACAAAATTTATACTTTTAAACAATTCATTTTTCTATCATTAATCTAAGAAAACAGAAAGTTAAAATTGCAGGCAATCCAGTCTTGACCTTAACTTATTCATAAGTGTCTTTCATTGTAAATGTGTAAAAAGAATACCTGGATTTGGAAAATTGGTGTATTCCTAAGAAATAAAATTTATTCTAATCTTTAAAACTAAAGTTAACAATCACTATACCTTTTCAGATTCTAAAGACTGATTTTCAAAATCTCTGCGTAGAAGTTCCGCTCTTAATTGAGACAGCTGTTCCTCCTGGTCTGCCATTCTTTGTTGTAGACCAGACTTTTTACCCTGTAAATGCATGCAGTCATTCTTCGTTCGAGACAAATCTTCACGCAAGTCTGAACACACTTCCTGTGTCTGTATCAATTGACTTTCAAGTATAACCTACAAAGAAATATTAATATTCTTTAATAATTCAACATAATCTTATAATTATTTTGAGATCAAAATAATCATATATATGTTTATCACTTTGACTTCCGAGGATACAAATTTTCGTGGATTGAGATAATAACTTTATTTGCAGATATTTGATTTCATGTTTTGCTAAAGTCTGCATACAAGCATGTTAATTTTTCTCTTTGTTGAACATTTAAATATTCGTAGGTTTATACCTATATAAAAAAAAACAAGAAAATTGGTATCCCAAGAATAATAAAAAATTCCCAGTAAATCAAACTAAATATATACTAAAAACATATTATCTAATTATCAGCAAGAGATCCCCTTTGTATCCCAGTTTAAGATTTACCTTTTGTTCGGCTAAAGATGGGCCTCAAATATCTTGTTTAGATCTTACCAGTTGTTTTGCAGAAGTTACCCTAAACATAGCTAACATATCTAACTTGTATGACATGTTTAGGATATACTAGTAGTTCAGCAAAAGATGAGCATCGAATAATCTTTTAAGGGCTAACCAGTTGTTTGGCAAGAGATGAACAAGAAATAACCTGTTAAGGGCTTACCAGTTGTTCAGCAGGAGAAGAACCCCAAATTACCTGTTTAGGACTTGCGGTGCCTTTTATTTTCGGCAACAAATGAGCCAGAAATAACCTGTTTAGGACTAACTATACCTGTTGTTTGGCAACAGAAAATAAAGAGCTGAGCCATGAATGCATGAAACGCATGTCGCTTTTTCAATGTACAAAGTTCCATAATTCCTCAATGTCAAATCAGAAATATAAAAAAAAAACAAAAAAACAAAGGGAGCTTATTTTAAATATAAACCAGTCACCATGATAACTGCTCAAGCATTTTTGAGTTATTGTCCGAAAACTGGAAAATCCCCCCTTTTTTATGAATAAAATCCCAATCGGAAACGTAAAATCTTAAATTTATAAAAATCCAAAGGGAGCTTTACATCAATAGATACATGTATAAACAATTCACCAGTTACATGAAAATTAGTTACAGCCTTTTTCAGTTATTTTCTGACATGTTGTTGATGGATAGACAGACAACGATATACCATAACACGTCCCATAAACGGGCATATAAAAACTGTTTGGGACGTACCATTTGTTCAGCAGGAGAAGAACCAGAAATAATCTGTTTAGGACTATCTTCAGCACCATCTGGTGGTTCACCACACAGTAACTACAATAAAAAAATTACGAAATCAAAAATAGAATACATTGGATGGAACTTCAAGGGATGATTATAAATAGTACTAGTTACCAGTAGACTGAATTACAAAACTTTGAAGATTCCCGAAATTTCCCAGCTATAACTCTTAATAGCCTGATGTTCTTTCAAAATGTAAGAATCTAACTGAAGTTTAACATCCCTTATTACTCATCAAGATAATCCTTTTGTCATTATGCTGGTGATCGAGTCCTTCTCTGAATTGCAAAGCTTACTGAACTGAAACTTGCACTTAAATTTTCCCCTTTTACCAGTTAGAAATCCCTCAGAAACCAGTGTAGTATTTTACTTATTGTATTGTTAGTTATCACAAGATCATATATTGTGTCCTTTTTTATATGAGACATATTGAAATTTGAATGCCTGCAAAATGATGGAAGGAATCTTTCATTACCATTAAAATGTAAAAAAGGAATAAAGAACATGAGTAATAAAAAATGACCTAGCCATGAATTATCCTATGTTATGATATTATACCAGTGATAAAACTTATCTTTATATTTAAATAAATGCATAATTTCTATCAATTTTATATCTATTTAACAAGAATGTGTCCATAGTACATGGATGCCCCACTTGCACTATCATTTTCTATGTTCAGTGGACCATGAAATTGGTGTCAAAACTCCAATTTGGCATTAAAATTAGAAAGATCATATCATAAGGAACATGTGTACTACGTTTCAAGTTGATTGGACTCCATCTTCATCAAAAACTACCTTGACCAAAAACTTTAACCTGAAGTGGGACAGATGACTGGACGGACGAACAAACGAACGGACGCACAGCTGGAAACATAATGCCCTAAGTGGGTCATAAAAACTGTTTTATATACATGTGGTACAGAAATAGTAATAGTTCTATTTCATTTCTTTCTAAATCTTACTTGAACTGGTAACATACTACAGCATTAGCTAAGTCTAAGAATCATACTACCTGTTATGTAAAATACTTATGTATCCTGATATCTTTCAGGTATAAACACAAACAGCTTTTAAAATTAAATAAAATATAATTGATTGGTAAACATCCACTTGTCTAAAATCTGCATAATGCAACTTACCAAATCTTGTAATTTTAGGAGTTCTCGTCTTGTATTAGACATGGCATCAGAGAGCTCCATATACTCCTGTAACAGATCTTCGTATTGAGCTCTGTCTACAGTGTTACTCCCGCTGTCTTCTAACTCTGTACCACTGTCTTTGGCTATTAAAAATATGAGAAATTATTATGAGCATCCAAATTTGAATTTTTTTTCCCCCATAATGGTGGCCATCTTTGACCTCAAACAATCAATGTGATAAAGAATGCAACTTAAATTATGAAGGCATATATATATCATTAATATCATACAGTAAAAACCTTTTTTTTTAAATACAGAAAAACTTTATCATAAATTTATATATGATGGGAGATTTCTTTTATACAAATGTAATATATTGCAATTAACAAGGCTTGTAAATTGTAATATACAAGGTAAATTTATCTATAACAAAACAGTAGAGTGAAGTTCAGAACCCTTTTTTTCTTCCAACAATATCAAATAAAGGCTATCCTTTCCATTTCATTTAAAAATTCAATGTTTAAAGTTTTCTTTCTATTGAAAGAATGGAGTTTATCAACTTATAATCACAATATGGATATCTTGAAAACAAGCATGATGTTGAAGGCTGTACAGTTACCTATAATTGCTTACATCCACTGCATTTGAACTTTGGTGGATAGTTGTCTCATTGGCAATCATACCTCATCTCCTTATTTTTATAATGATGTTTTTTTTTGTTTCTAGTATTGAGGAGTTGCTGTCCTATTGACATATACCCCACATTTCTTTAAATTTATAATGGTTACATAAACTACATAATAGTACTGATTATAAAGAAAATGTTAAATGCATGTTCTTTCCTCTCCAAACTTTCCATAAGTAAACAAATTATACAATTGTGCTGTTTTCAGCAAAAGTAACCATTATCTAAATTTCACAATAATAACAGTACACAGTAAAATCATCATAAGAAATACCAGTAATTCACAAAAATATTCATATGTATTGTACATATTTCAGACCCTCAGTTTTCTCGTTTGAATTGTTTTACATTTGTCATTTCAGGGCCTTTTATAGCTGACTATGTGATATGGGTTTTGCTCATTGTTGAAGGCCGTACGGTAACCTGTAGTTGTTAACTTCTATGTCATTTGGTCTCTGTTAGAGAGTTGTATCATTGGCAATCACACCACATCTTCTTATTTTTATATATGAATTATGATTTGAACATACAGAATTTAATTCTCTCCAAGATACTTTAAACATCAATATAAGCAATATATATAGACATAAACTTACCATAGACCTGGTCAGAAGATTTACTTTTAGAGAGGCGACTTTCTTTTGGACTAGATGTATCAGTTATGCCAGGACTAAATCTTGAAGAAGACTGTGGACTTTTGTCAGCACTGGCCCCATCACCATCATCACGACTGAAAACTCTAGTCCTATCACAGTTAAAGCTTTGATCTGAGTCACTCAAGTGCTCTGAGCTACTTCCCTCATGGTATGTTCGCCTGAAATGATATAAAACATTCTTGTGAAGACAAATACATCAAGAGGACTTTCTTCAATGTCAATCTCCCTCTGATATCTGGTCAGTGAACTGTATCTTGTCCATACAACTAGCCAACCATTCAGGTTAACAACTATGTAGTTGAAAGCATGCCAATCTCAATCTTTAATTCACATACTTAAAGAATGATCTCATCACCAATATATTTGTAAGATTATTTTACTTAAGTCAAAACAATTGTGGTTTCCTTACTTAGTCCAGATAAACCAATTTTTCAGTACAGACTAACTTCAATATTTTAATTTTATGTATATTCCACATTTAACCACTGAACAGAATAATCTGTCTTCCGAGAGAAAATGTATATTTCTGTAATTCTTGCAAATTTAGTGCAAGTGCATATAAAAAGCATGCAATTTATAAACAATATTCTTCTATCAGCTACAAAACATCAACCAAAGATCAAACATCTTCAGTTATAATTTATAATCACTTTTCATTGACAAGGAAAACAGCAAATACAATCCTTAATACTCTTTTCAAAACTACATTTTTTAACAAGAAAGATTTGTACTTTCAAAACTTAATTCCATTTTCAATCAAGCATCCTTTTCTTAAATACAACTTTAAAATTTTTCCACCTTTTGTCAACTTGAAAGAACATTTTCCAAAATGTAAGCATATTTCTGAACAAGTAAATTGCAAATAATGACATCTGTTTCCACATGTACGTCAAAAGTCAACAATTCATATCCACAATTGTACCTCAAATTGCATTCCATTCTAATGCGATTAACAAAGAAATTTACAAGTAGTATTTTCCACATGATAACTGTAAACGGTTAAAACATTTTTTGTGTACTTACAATCGCAAGAAATACCCATGGGAAAACATTTTGTTAAACTTTATAATAACTACATGAAATTTACTAATATTTGACAGGTGTATATTTTACCTGCTTCAGACACCTATGACTCAAGTACCACCCTACATCCCAGTGACATGAAAATTAATATTTACATTGTGTTCCACATGACTGATCACAAATGTAAACAATGTTTCCCCAATGGCACAGTAACTGTGACAATGGGATGCTTTTATCTTGTTTTGAATGATCTGTCTACTTTTCCATGTAAATCTATTATCAAAGTTAATGTAGCATAAATAATATACTGAAGGTAAACTTCCTAATATATTGCAAAAGGCTTCAAGCTGCGTTACACAGCATATATAAGTTAGGGAGGTTAACATCTGACTAGAAAAAGGTATATGTTACCAAAGCATTTTCTAGGAAAGAAAAATAAGTTGACATTTCTTGGTATTAATTGTTCTAATGTGGTTTCTTAATAATTCATTGGATACAAATTTTCGTAGATTTTGTGGGTAAAGGGAAACATCAGATTCAAATGTTCAACAAAGTATAAATTTTCTATAGGCATGTATACAAACTTTTTCAAAACCCTGAATTCAAATATCTACGAAACCACAATTTTTACTCACTCCATGAAAATTAATACCAACGAAAATAAATGAATCCACAGCATAAATTTCCCACTCCAAATAATGAAATAACAAATCTGTGTTACAGTATAAATTGTATCATTAAGTACATCAGCTCCTATACAAGTCCTACAATGAGTTTAAAGTTTTACATGTAATGGTTCATTGTTTCATATTACCTGAAGTATGAGGTGCAATAATACAATCAATACATTTTAAGTATACACAATTATAATACAAGTATACACAATTATTCGATCAGCAGAAACACACTTTATATATACCGATCAAAAACGAAGTCTGAATATACTATTTCATCTCTTCTTCTCATCTTCATGAATATATTAAACAATCCAGAACACAGAAATCCAAAGCAACTCATATCTTCCACAAACTTTACTAATTATGCAATTTCATAGACACAAAAGAATTTCTAAAAATTCCTGATTATCACGAGATATGCCACTCTGCCAAAAGTTTCTCCATCCCAAAACAGATTGCAAATGTGTGATAAAGATCTCATACATGTAATAACACATCAATTAACCAATTAGTAAATGTGGTTCACCTTACCAAATTCTACACATGTATCTGTCTATACTGTGCATCCCTTCATCTTTGTCCAGTTAATCAGATTAAAGATATCATGTCCACTCCAGGGAGTTGAAGATAATAAATACACTTTAGCCAAGGGGATCTCTGTGTGGAACTATATCAAGCATTAAATAGCTGTACAAAAGATCTCCCTTTCATGAAAACTATGCTTCACCCCTCTGCTAACTTAATGAACTCTTCTGCCTATTGATCAAGCCAGCACAACAAAGTTTTCAAGGGGTGTCAAGTTGAATGAATGGATAAAAATGTTTATCAATGTATCAGAATCAACACACTAATCCTATTTAGATATGAGGTTACCCTATTCAGAAATCAATTATCCCAACAACATCAAAATATTGGATTGTTATTCCAATATTTTCCCACTTTTCATAATCAAATAAATCTTCAAACCATATCTGGTTTCAATTGTATATTGGCAATTAAATAAAATACACAAAAATGATTTTTACTTTAACATCAAATAAATGATCTTATTAATTCAATTAATATTTGCATGGAAAACTTTCTAGTTAGAAATCAATTTTTAATGAAACATACATCATCATATTACCCAATTATTTAATGAAGTTAGTTGTGTCATTCATTGGTTTGTTTATGTTTTAAAATTACTTTACAACTTTTTTTATTAAATTTCAGAAAAGGATGAGTGATAAAAATGAAAGTTGCACACTTCCCAGGGTTGTGGAAATGCTATACCCGACTCGCCTGACTCGTACATTTGATCGACCGGACAAGCAATTTTTTGTGTCTTTGTTGCCCGTGGACAAGTTAAAAAAATGTTGCTTGACAAAGTTAATTCATATAATCATATAGAAAAGTCCTCCAAAATTTATTCATCAAAGTAGAAAAATTATCAAATAACAAGAGGAAAGAGCCATGTTTAAGTAAAGCAACATCAATGATCAAGAAGTAGATCGAATATTAAACAACAAAATATAAATATGCCAACTCGGGATTCATTAATATTCTGCGATTTATTTTCCCAGGATAATACAGGATCGTCGATCAGGTTATAGCAAAGAATGTGAATTTTATTAATGAAATAAAAAGATGGCAATATCCCTCTTCTTAATAAGTGTCATTACTTCACCTACTGAGGATTAATTATATGTGGGATACCAATTATCAAGGATTTCGTGGGTGAAATTAAACCATGAAATCAAATATTCAACGAAGTACAAATTTTCTATTCGTTACTTTGGGAAAACAACTAAATCAAATATCCACAGAAATGCAACTTTTTGTTAGTACAAAAATTTATCGATACAAATAAAATGAATCAACAGTATTTAAGGAAAAATGGTTACATTATCTGCTGTCATGAAATAGAAGTTCCTTTATAATATTAGATAAAAATGGAAGAAATATTCAGGAATACCATTGGAAGAAATATTACAGTATTTGTTTCTAATAGAATAAAAGGTATAGAATATTTGTTCCAACAGGAACAGATAATATAGCATTGGTTATAACAAAGTAACTTCTGTAGATTGAACAAATATACGTTGACAGCGCTTCAAAAAAATCAATTCAGCCTGTTGGTTTGATTCATCATGTTCATATTCTGCTCTTGTCCTGAGTATGAATTTAAAGATTACCTCCTTGATGTAAAAATTTTATCAACTCTATAAATTAGTGTTTCTAACTATTACATGGATTTAAGAGAAGTCCAAAAATGTTGATACTTGTAAAATAGTTTTTGTCCATTTACTATGACAGCAACTTCGACAGACAAAATTACACACAATTATCCTCTTTATGTTTGCATCATTTCAAAGCACATTTATCAAAATTTATACACATGGATTTGATAGACTGCCATTTACAAATGTATGAATTAAACATATTTATGGTAATATTGGACAATCTACCGAGTTCTTGTGGCATGATGCAATGCAGAAAACTGCACATGTACTGGTATAAACTAAATTGTAACAAACCTTGTATAGGCTACAACAAACCACATTTCCTTTCAACCATCACACCATTGATAACTCCCATAATTAGCATGATAAATTATATAATGTACATATCAACCTTCTCTGTATACAAACTTGAACTCTGACCTTAACATAAATGTCATTTTGTTTGTCATTTGAAGACAAAAAAGAATCAATCACATTTGTCAATCTTTGCCTATCAAGAAATCAAAACAAATTCAATTCAACACATAAATCCCACACCTGGCTAAATCATTACTATCAGCTAAGGAATCTGATTTGAAGTTAATTACCAAGACATTTTCATAGCATAATGGTCAGCTTAAATAAATGTCAGTCCACATGTACAATTGTATATATACATTTCTTTTTCTTATTCTGGACACACATGTCTCATATCATGTTCCATGGTTACTGTATGAATTTTATAAGTTTAAAAATCAACACATTAGATTTTTCTTTAAGAAATCAGAAAAAATCCAATTTTCTTTCAGAATACAAAAAATTACATATTTTGTCAATTATATGCAATCTGTTGCAATATTAATAGAACTGATACATTCCTTCAACAATTGACAATTTTCATAAATTTTCAGATCGAACATGATGTAAAATTGTAGTTTTAGATACACTGTCCAAACTCTGTGATCAGAGTACATCTTCTCCTTTAATGATTATATTAAACACTACATTTTTTCTCTCTTTTATTTTACTAATTTTTTCACTCTGTCCTACTAACATAAACCCAGACAGATATGCATGGTAAGTATGTTTTTCATCTTCCTGTCTGATAAAGTTCCTAATTTCAAATCAAATATCAAAGACATTGTGTACATATGATGTTAATGGAGTATGTCCGTGACATGGTCAGGTGGATGGGTCAGTTGAGAAGATATAAACATCAGTCCTCCTACCTAAATTAATTATGAGAGAACTGCTATCTGCAAGCATTCATCTGTAAATATTCTATTATATTGCTGTTAATTAAATCACATTCTTGTAGGCTCATTGTAGGTAATTAACTTTTCTCCTTATAGACAAGACTACAAATAATTCATGGTGTAGAGGCAACAGATCTATCATTACTTGCAATAGTGAACAGAATTTATTGCTTCACTACGTACAGTGTTCAGAAACTGAAGCAGACAGTAATTCTAAGGAACTATTGCAAAAAGACTAAATATATTTTCAACAGCTGCATGGCTTCTTACAAGAAATATATCTTTTTCTCCATTCACATGTTCACAAAAATCTTTTGATTAAAACTGATTACAAGTTACAATGAAATGGTCATAACTTATAAGTATTTGGTGAATTTTGTGAAAAGTGTCACTGGTTTGCATGTAGAATACTATTCTCCTTAGGTTTTATGGTACAATTCATTGTTACCATAAATCTCAAAATTCCTAGATGCTTATAAATTCAATTAGGAATAATTGTAATTGGTATATATTCCATTTTATAAAAACTCTAGTTCATTTCCAGTACACTTTTAGTTTGGTATTAATGACAACTAATTGTCTAATTAAGTAATCAATTATATATTCTCATAATGAAGGAGTAACTTGGTACATTCTCAGTTTTTATCTAAATAACAGTTATTATCAGTACGTTTAAGACATGTTAATATACATGTAATAATCATATTTTTGAATATATTTTGACACAGTGCATTTAGTAAAGAGTCAGTGCACTAAACAACAGTCCAGTTTTACAGTTTACAAATAAAAACACCTTACAAAAACACCATTTAGTTATATTAAAATGAATAATTCAATATACTTATAATAAATTTAGGTTATTACAGATATTTGTTTTGAAACAAGATGCTGCTATTTTAAGTTCCGCAGTGCAATATACCAGTACTTTTTTGTAACATTATATCATAATTGTACCACAGTGCATAAAAATTTTACTATCAATGCATTTTTTAAATCTTTTCATAATTTTGCAATTATGTGTTTTATTTTTATTCTTTTTTTTCATTTTTTGTATATCCCCCTACCTTGAATAATTTTTTATTTGCCATTTCTAAAACTTTTCAACTACAGAACTGATGGGTTTTAAGAGAATACTAAAAAATAAATTAATACATTATTACATGTACTAAGTTTTTAAATTGTGAATTTTAGAATAATTAAAAAAAAAAGTTAGAATTGTCATTCTTGCTGTTTCATGTCTATTTAATGTCTATTTCACATTCTCTATAAAATTTTAGTGTTAAGGTCAAAATTATTATTCATATATTTTGACATGACATACCACAAGAAAACATAAAGAATAGCATTATTCACTATATTTGTAAATTTTAGAAATTCTCTTGATCATATTTGACATTCAGATTACCTTATCAGAAAATAAATCCTAAGAAATACTGGTACAGATAATAAACAAACAGAGATCTGTTATTTGTTGTAATGTATGTTAGATATAGAATTTATGATTTATAGTGAGACGACATGAAACATCCTGGGGTAGTTTAAACTCATATTATTAAAAGTTTTTATCGGATCAAACTATCTTTTTTATTGTCCAGTGTATTATATTATCGCCATTTAGCCTCAGGACTTTCTCACAAATCAATAACTTCTCAAAATAAGAGTTCAACAATTTTTTACTATTTTTGGATTTTTATTGAAATTTTAAGTATTTCTTTCCTTTTTTTCATTTTTCGAAAAATTTTATGTTATCCATTAAGAGATTTATTTGTCAATTAATGTGTCAAATTCAGAGTACCTTTAACCACAAATGGGAGGAACAATGCTTACACCTTCTAATTCAGAATAAAAAAGGTGATTAAGTTTCAGGTAATCCTTTTATTATTGTCACAAGAACTTGTACAAAAACACTTCAATTCTGTATGTGACAACTTTAGCCTAAAGGATAAAGACGAGATTTTACATCCTATACACCTGCTTACCCTCAACTCCATTGCAAATAAATACTGCACTATTGATAAAAGTTAACAATTTTTTTCATTTTTTATTCCGTCAGAAAAACTTAATTTATAAATATTTTGTAAAAAAGTTACCATTAGAAATTTACATTTTACTAACAAATCCATAATCTATGCAGAGAATGAAGATGAAAAGCTAAGTGAGAGTTTTACAGAAACAATATTTCTATCATTCAACAGTTACCAACTGTACATGTAAGTAAACAAGAGTTACCTACCTTCTGTCACTATAATTATGAGATGATCTATTTCTTCTGAAACTATTACCAGCTTTTGCAGCATTCCTTCTAGCTTCTGCTAAAGCTGCTGATGCTCCCTGAAAAAAAAAGCAATACTCAATAAAATGTAAAGGAAATATCGAAAATAAAAGAATTATTTTATTGCCATTACACTCACTGAAACATTAAAAGTTTGAATTGTGACATCATCATTCTGAAACCTTTGATGCTTATAAAAATAAGCAGATGTGGTATGGACTATCCATAGTATAAATGATCTAGATGTTAGCAGCTATAGGTCACCGTACAACCTTCAACAATGAACAAAACATGTTCTGTAAAGTCAGCTATAAAAGACCCTGGCATGAAAAAATGTGAAGCAATTCAAACAAGAAAACCCATGGCCTGATTTTCTTTCCTCCATAATTTATTGTATGAAAGAGATACAAGTAATGCCTTAATTTGTAAATATGTTCAACAAAATAAGACCATATGGAGCTTGAAAATGAATCTTTTATAAACAGAGACTGTGAATTTAACTAGATGCAAAATTACAATGTGAACAGTGAAGCATATAAGCAAATCTTGTTAGTATCATAATTGTTACTGACAGGAAGCGATAAACATTTTTATAATTTCACTAAAATCAAGCTTTGATGTCAATAAATGTTTAGCATACTTATCAAGTGAGAAGCATATAACATGAAAGTTCTCACATCATTATAAGATTTATTCACATTAATATGTGCATGGGGGTCAACAGTTTAAACATTTTATAATTTCCTATGTTTTGAGTCACTGATTGGTTAATACCACTTCTCTGACTGTCAACAAATGGCAGGAAATTAAACAGTATATTTTATCAACAATCCAAATCTTTACTGTCATTACACTATACATTTATAGCATGTGTATCAATAACAAATGCAATCATTAGGCAGAAATTTATTAGTGGAGAAGAATTTTCAAATTGAATGACAAATACAAATATTCAATTAATTTCAAAACTTTAGGAATTGAATTCTTCTTTTTGTAATTGTATTTGGGTGTAAAAGCTTTGACCTAAGCACAATTTGTAAAAAGCGTAGAGGCGCTTCTAAATAAAAAGTTAGAAAGATCAACATTTATTGATTCTATAAAATTACCAAAAGAAGCAGTCAAATTTATAATTACATCTTTATGCTGCAATCATGAAATTATGAGTTTTAATTTTTTTTTCCAATGAATGTTGTGATATTGTCATGGGAAGCATGTACTGAAATGAATGTTGCATTTTATTGGAAAATAAAATCTAATTTTGGAATGTCTCTTGATTGTGGTCAGCCAATCAAAAATAAGGATTTGATTGAAATATAATTGTCATATAAATCAACTTATAATATGATTTGTGACAAAATAAACATAACATAGTATAACAAACATATATAATTGACAAGAAGACAGCATATATACATGGTATAATTCAACAAACTTCAAATAATAGTTTATAATTCAATTTGAAGTCCCATACTTTAAAGTATTTACAAGTTTTAGAAAGGAGCCTATGCTTTCAACCTTCTTTTGTGTTGAGAATATATGACCATTTTTTCAATATCCTCCAAGTCATTATGGTATATGTTTTTCTCACTGTATAAGGCCAAATAATGACCTATAACTGCCTATATCAACATCAGTTTAACTTTGGTGGATATGTAACAAATCTTGTAGAACATTCTTTGTTAAAACTTAATCTGTTATCATGTTGTATGGAGGTAAAGCTGCAGGTGTACAAGGGACTATTTAGACCTGTCCTTGAAAATGAGAGCACAGTATGGGACCCAAATCAAATATATTTACAAGACAAACTAGAAAACGTCCAGAAAAAGCAGCAAGATTCATAACATCTTTAAACTACAGTTACGAACCAGGTAGTATGACTTCAATCTTAAACTAAATTAAACTAGAACCACTGAAAGATAGACAAAACAGACTGATTTCATTTTGCAAAGGTATACACCATCTAGTCAAACTACAAACAGAAAATCTTCAACAACCACAAAGAACAACAAAGAACATGCATAGTCAGCATTTCTTCAGAATCCCAGCCAAGAGGGACACTTTGAAATCCAGCTTCCTACTAAATACAATTAAAGATTGGAACCTTCTACCTCTGGATATCATCACCAAGATTCAATTCGCGGAAGAACCAGCTAAGTTGGTCACAGAAATTGTAAGAGGGGTTCCCAAGTTGTAAGCAAGTTATAAACCTTGACACATGCACAATGTAGTAATGTCTAAGGACGTGACATTGTATCTAATCAAGATTAAGGGCTGTCTCATTGGCAATCGTGCCACATCACATCTCCTTCTTTTTATAATTATGGACACACATATATATAGGTGTATCACAACTGGTTTTGAGAAATATAATTGAATATAGAACTACACAAACTGACGTATGAAAAAGCAAGGCAAAACTATTTGCATCTCCCACATTCTAAGGCAGGCAGAGAATAAGACATGAAAGGTAACAAGACCTGATATCCTTACCTGAGCTATACCAGTAACACTAGATCTCTTACTGTTGGATTGTGTGGAATGTTTGACACTTTGTGGTTTGAAATGAGCAGCTAGTGCTAGTATCAATCTCATAATAGACTTCAGATTGCCATCAACAATGTCTGAAAAAGATTTAATGACAAAAAAATGTTATCATTAGTATATATATTACAACACAGTATGGTGACTTATCTGTTTCTACTGCTAGTAGTCTTGAGATAATTTTCCTTTTTCAGGAAACCTTGAAATCATAGCTGTAAAACATTACCGTTATCATTTTACATTGTCCAATACACAGTAGATTGAATTAGCTAATTAATTCAGACCTGACCAGTGCTCTTAAAACACTATAATGGATTTTAATTTGTTATTTCCAATTTGACACTGTTAATGTACCACAATACATACATTTCTTCTACATTTTGAATACTCAACTCTGCTTTCTGTCGATTTAAATTGCACAAGATTTGCAAGAGATTTTCAAATTTTAATTTTACTTGTGAGTCATTCACAGGACTATTTCATATATACTGTAGCCTCATTTTCTATAAAATATTTTTGGCATAAAATAATCATACTCTCTAGTATAAGTAACTGGGGTAATTTTACTAGGTGGATCAATTAGTTCCTAATATAAGAATTTTAATTTAGCGACCTAAAGAAGTTTAAGAAGATTATCTTTTATTAATTATGTTATTCTTAACAATCTAACATGTCTAATAAACATTAAAAAACGCTTTAATTTTAAAAATACATTTTATTGTACCATAGTTAAAACCTCACAGAATTGTGCATATTTCTTTCAGGAAATTGTGGAAAGGAAAGTACTTAGTAATTTGCATAAACTGCTACGTAATCAGGGAAATGAACAAGTAATGAACAGGGATGGGAATAAAAAGATTTAAAATGATGGTAAAATGCTACACATAACTCCTATTTGAATGTTGAAAAATCTTGTTCCATTAAATAATAATTTCAGAAATCACACTTCAACTGCATTTGACATACTGTAATTTCAGAAATTTTTGTGACATTTTTATTATTTTGAAAATTGTAATCGAATAGGTTTCCCAAAAATTTAAAGCTTGTATTAAATTTTCATAGTGTTATTTGTATGCAGCATTTCCTGAATTTGCAATAATAAATGCAAGTAAAAATTGCTGAATTTACAGTAGTTACATAATCCAGTTTTCTGTAGCGTTACCTTTTGGATTAGTGTGATGCATTCTAATTCTGTTAGTAGTCATGTAATGTAGAATTCTCTCAATGTTCTCTCTCATTTCACCATAGGTAGATGGACAAAGATGGACACCACTCATGTGTTCTCCTCCTGAAATAGCAGTCACAAAATACAGAATGGTTGTTACATTAAACATAGAATAGACAAATCAATCTAAGATGAGTTATAACCTAATCAACTTCTTAATAATTTCTAAATTTATCAATGAATTTGACAAGCTGTTTCTGTATTAGTCTTGTTGCAAATGTATAGAAGTTGACAAGCAGTTTCTCTTATTTTCATGCTATTTTCACATGTCTCATTCAGACTGAGAACAATTTTTCTCCTCTCTAGAGAAAACTTTGTTCTTGGCAAATGATTGGTCGAAATTTCAATTATGACTTCAAATTTTCTTGATTTCTTCTGAATTTCCTATTGTGACATCATAAAAAAAGGCAACTATGACTGATGATGTCACATATAAAGCACACAACTTTCTGCAAATCTTTGAAAAGGAAGGATAAACTTGTTTAGATATTGTCTTAAAATCATTCAAGAAACAGATTCCACCCCTATATCTCATGTATTATGATATTAATCCACTCTCAACAGTTAAATTTTAAATATTTAAAAAGCTCAGCAAGCCTCGTGTTTTAAATTTTTAAATTTAACTGTCTCGCGTGGAGAAATATCGTAACACACTTGATGCAGTGGTGGAATCTGTATAAAAGTTGACTAGCTGTTTCTCTATTAGCCTTGTTTCAAATGTATAGAAGTAGACTAGCTATTATCCTATCCTATTGGCCTTGGTGCAAATGTATAGAAGTGGACTAGCTATTTCTCTATTGCCCTGGGAGCAACTGTATAGAAGTGGACTAGCTATTTCTCTATTGGCATTGGTGCAAATGTATAGAAGTTGACTAGCTATTTCTCTATTGGCATTGGTGCAAATGTATAGAAGTGGACTAGCTATTTCTCTATTGCCCTAGGAGCAACTGTATAGAAGTGGACTAGCTATTTCTCTATTGGCATTGGTGCAAATGTATAGAAGTTGACTAGCTATTTCTCTATTGGCATTGGTGCAAATGTATAGAAGTGGACTAGCTATTTCTCTATTGCCCTAGGAGCAACTGTATAGAAGTGGACTAGCTATTTCTCTATTGGCATTGGTGCAAATGTATAGAAGTGGACTAGCTATTTCTCTATTGGCATTGGTGCAAATGTATAGAAGTGGACTAGCTATTTCTCTATTGCCCTAGGAGCAACTGTATAGAAGTGGACTAGCTATTTCTCTATTGCCCTAGGAGCAACTGTATAGAAGTGGACTAGTTATTTCTCTATTGGCATTGGTGCAAATGTATAGAAGTGGACTAGCTATTTCTCTATTGGCATTAGTGCAAATGTATAGAAGTGGACTAGCTATTTCTCTATTGCCCTGGGAGCAACTGTATAGAAGTGGACTAGCTATTTCTCTATTGGCATTGGTTCAAATGTATAGAAGTTGACTAGCTATTTCTCTATTGGCATTGGTGCAAATGTATAGAAGTGGACTAGCTATTTCTCTATTGCCCTAGGAGAAACTGTATAGAAGTGGACTAGCTATTTCTCTATTGGCATTGGTGCAAATGTATAGAAGTTGACTAGCTATTTCTCTATTGGCATTGGTGCAAATGTATAGAAGTGGACTAGCTATTTCTCTATTGGCATTGGTGCAAATGTATAGAAGTGGACTAGCTATTATCCTATCCTATTGGCATTGGTGCAAATGTATAGAAGTGGACTAGCTATTTCTCTATTGCCCTAGGAGCAACTGTATAGAAGTGGACTAGCTATTTCTTTAATGGCATTGGTGCAAATGTATAGAAGTGGACTAGCTATTGCTCTATTGGCATTGGTGCAAATGTATAGAAGTTGACTAGCTATTTCTCTATTGGCATTGGTGCAAATGCATAAATACAGTTAGCTATAGTGGTCCAAAGATTTAAAGGTTCCAGAATCAAGAATCTATATAACAGCAGGACTTACAGAAACAGACAGAACATAAAACCTATATTAAATAATCATGATAGTTCTAGGTCTTTGAGTAAACTATGAAACTTATCCTTATGCAAGCACATGAAATCATACATTTTGTGCATAAACATATCTTTTTCTTTATTGTTGGTTGATCAATTGATGAATTTTTTTTCTGATTTCCTGTTCAAGTACTTAACCTATGCTAATGTAATTCATTAATAAACATTTCCTATATTTTCTCTATGATTTTTCAAAGATATAAATGTTCAGGAAACAGGAAGAACAGCATGGAGGAAAAGGAAAATGAGTCATATGGTATGGCATGCACATGACATGACCAGCAATACCAGTGGAAGTCTTTCTTTTCTCTGTCTGGCCACTCGGAAGTATGTCGCTTACATTAACCAATGTCAAGCCTCAACCCCCCTTTCTTGATGCCATATATCAAGATAATATGAACTGTAGCTCCTGAGAAAAATGTGACCAATTCTAATGTATGTGCAGGCCATTTTAAACTTTTGGCAAACAGGAACTAAACATAATCATGAACTGAAAACAATTCACAATGTATAACCTAACCACATGAAGCTTGGTACCATATATCAAGTAGCCATGAGATCTTGATGTCTGTGTTCTCTCAAATATTTGTAGTTTTGGTTGACAGAAAGGATCCATTTTTTCCAGATTAAAATTGTAACACTACGTACTAACACAAGAAATAATTGAATTTTGTTCATGTCAAGTAAAATTACAATAAAAAACAATTATCTTATGCACAGGCAGATTTAACCACATAAGGATTGATTTGTTAAAATCATTTACCAATGAAAAATATTGTATGTTGCTGATAAATGACCAAGCTGTACATACAAAAATATTGATGTTTTTCATCTGTAAACACACCCTCGAGAAAACAGTCTTTAGAATAAAACATGCAGAATTTATAGCAAATGTATATATAATGCGTAGTTCACACGTACATTTAATTCGAATTGAATTCAAATCGAATGCGAATCGAATTCGCTAATCGCGTTCACACACTCTTCTTTTTTAATTCGAATTGATTCGAATTGGCTAAATCGCATTATCAAATTCGCATTAGAAATGAGTTTTTGTTAATACAAATTAAAAGTTAACGTCGTTTGGACAGTAAAGCAATTTTGACACGCATTGAAATTCGAATTAGAATTTACGTTTGGACGTAAAATGTTTCGAATGCGAATTAAACTAATTTGAATTAGTTAATGCTAATCTAATTCGAATTACGTGTGAACTTAGCATTAGAAATTCCCCCTCACTTTTTTCATTATTCTATATATATATATATATTTAATTAAGATCCATTTATTACATCGGTGATCCTTTTATTTGGCAATAGCCAATGGCAGTCAGCAGGGTTTAAGAACATTTGTTGTTCGACCTGTTAGTCAAATGCGTTTTGTTTAAATATACCTTTTCACTTTTTTGGTCTTTTGGAAAATGTTGTTTGTGCTGTATTTAGCCCCCTCTAACAAGAAATTTGTTTTGCATGCACATGTATAAAAATTGCGGTTTTTATCCAATGCAATCATAGGTTTGAACGTTGTTTTCAAAAAAATAAAAGAGGTAGACCTATTAAATTTCTTTTCCACCTTTAAGCATAACACTGAAGGAAAGCAATTTATAATAACAATGGTCTAGCCTTTGATCTATAGCTTAAAGTATTAAAAAAACAACGCATCCATTATATCATGTGCAACTAGATAATTTGATAAAAAATATTACATGGATAACTTTTCCGTTTTTAGAGCATAGTGTCACTTAGTCACTGACTTTTAGTTTACACCTTTTATGATCAATCAGATTAACTTCTTCAGTCAAATTTTTCAGAGAAAATACAAATCCTTAGTTTAGGCATTACCTAATTTTGAAAAGGTGATAATTACAATAAAATGTGGGTAAATCACTTTATGCTAGTTGCAAAGAGCAAAACAATTCAAAATATTCAATCTCTACTACATGTACATGTACACTTTGCATATGAAGTAGAGTAAATGCTTACCAACTATTTCAATAAGCTCTATCATAGCTACTCCGTCTTTCATATCATTGCGTAGATCTTCAATCAGGCGAACACCAGGCTTCTTTTTCAGCTGAGAGTTTACCCAAGCAACATATGCTTGTAGTTGTTGCTGTAAATAAAAAGTAATATATTTATTTCCTATAAAATACGGCTGTTGTCTATAAGGATTTACTATCATAAATTTGCAGTGAAATAAATAAGTGGGTTAATGTATTCATTAGACAAATTATAGAACACTTGAACAACAAGCATTGAATAAATGAAATGTCTGTATAAATTTATATGCATTTCACTTAAAAGGTTTGCTTACATTAAATTCATAAATTTTAATATGCAATGTTTTTACTATTGCCAAAATTATGACAGGATAGGTGTCACAAAAATAAAAAACTTGCATGCTTAAACATGTTAAAGGGGCATTAGCTGTCAAATTCATGTTCACCGATTTGACTCAAATTCTCATATTTGATTTATAACATACTAAAACGTATATCCCAGTTATAAAAAGATTTTTCTAGGTCTGTTTGAATTCATATCAGTTACAAATACATGTATATGTTAATCATCGTATTTACCTGTATAAGAATAATTTTTGGCTTATTTTGACCAAATTGAACCAAACTGGCTGCTAAAAGAAAACTATTATTTCACTATTCAGTTTAATAAAAGATTGAACAAAAAAAATCATTTTTTTATTTTTTTTTATATCTCGTAGCTAATGCCCCTTTAATTTTGATAGCATATTGTTCGTATGCAATATTTCCTGAAATTGCAATAATGAATCTCGCATTTGTGTTCATTTCTCAACAATTGCTAAAAATAAATGCGTGCACAAACTTCTGCATTTACTATCATTTCAGATATTGACATACAAAATCTCACAACCCCTACTTTAAAGTAATAGTTACACAATGTAAAAAATGGTAGATAGTAATACAAAAGCCAATTTAATCATAAGCTTGTCTTTAACAATGATCTGCAATAATAAGTAGCATATACATTTGTACAAGACCATTGGTCATATCCATGGATCAGGGCTTTCTACACCTCACCAACAATGTACATGATGTATGTGCTTTCAACTGCAGACTACATAATATGCTTTAAATTTTTGTTACATGTACATACATTGTAATTTGATTTTGGAACAATTTGAGGGGAGTTGCTCAAAGTAAAATCACTGCTGTTTGGTTGATTTACATCTTCTCGTCATGGTCAATATCAGCATGATCCGTAAAATATAACAAAATTTTAGGAAAATTGGGAAGCTCTATAAACATGATAAATAGGATTAATACACAAGATTTAGAATACAGTCTATTAAATCCCTTTCCTTGAATAAATAAGTCATAAAAAAAAAGTGTCTTGAAGGATAGAGATGATTGAGACACTATAAATATTTGTAGAAATGTACATGTTCATGTGCATGTACTACAAAAAAGAAGGCAGACATAACTGATCATAATTTAGATGTACAACAATGTAATCTGAAGACTTATTTGAGATAAACTTCAGTTGGGAAATATTCATGTGATTGGAAAAATCTAATGCCATTTTTTGTTTTTTATTAAGTTCAGGATATTGCTCCAGAGGAAACACCCTTTTAAAGGCTTACAACATACATTCTGACAGAAATACATGTGTATTGGTACAATGTATATACATTTGAATAAGCTCAGAAGAGTATGTTGTTTAATTTTGAAATCAATTTTGTTGTTACATGTATCTGTTTCAAAATTAATTTGACAAAATATCATTTAAATTTGCAATGAAAAGACAGGCAACTCCTATACATTTCTTGTCAATAAATTATGTAAAAGCAGTGTACATGTGTGTACATAGATATAAAAGAAATAAAGAACCAATAACATGAATAAATTGAGTCATTTCTGGGTTGTCAATTGTTCAATAGAATCCAATACAATGTAATAGCTATGATTTTTCATTAACTCATCTAGTTATTGATTTCTTCATAAATCTACTAAACAATGTGACTTTGAAGTACTTCATTACATTAATGAATTGTTCAAACATACTTCTGGTATGTAATTTATGCCTAGGAAAACAATCAAACTGTATATACATGTACATTTACACGTACATAAAAGTTTTAAACTTTGTTTGATAAAAAAATGTATGAACAATTTTAATTGTGGACATATGCCCTAGAAATGAAATCTATAAACATTGACTTGATTTAATCTAATTATTTCCGATTAAACTACCTTGAAAAATATAACATAAAATCTTTGGAGCCTTTCTTTTGATATTTACTATGTTTAACGAAACATAACAAGCATTAATAGGATTTTTGTTAAAGGACTTAAATACTTTTATCAATGACAAAAGAGGACAAACAGCTCTATTTTCTAAACAAACATAACAGCCAGATTTACTTTCAAAGCTAATGGCAGGCCAGATTGACCCTACATAGGAATAAAGACATTGTTCAAATTTTAAGACTCCATTTAAATATCAGAGTATTGTATTATAATATAATGTCATGAATGTCATGAATGTAGGGTTCTATTCCCAATCCATTAAAAAGTCCTTTAGGTTAGAGGGTTATCTCTTGTCTGTCTGTTTTCTAAAGTGAAAATTACAAAAAAAACTGATGTCAATCTAGAAAATATAGTACTAATAAAATTAAACTAAGAACACTTTAAATACCCTTGTTTACTCGTTTAAAACTCAAACAGGAAAGTTGTTATTCAAGTAAAATGCATGTTCAAACACTTGCCGACCGATATGACTTAAAACATATTGTTAAATTTTTTAATAATATTTTCTGAATCATGTTGAAATTGTGAAAATATCTTCATAATAATGTTTCTCACGCTTTTCAGAGATTTTCCAAAGCTTAAATTTTGTAAGTGCATTAAAAGGGTACCATGTACAATACACTGTATTGAATATTATTAATTTTAAAATGACACTGGGATGATAATTAATAATTTTTCAACAATATCTCCAAACAGGTGTAAAATGAGGCAAAAGACCACCTGTAGAGATCAATCTCATTACTTTCTACCATGTCATTTGCAGCATTGTATACATATCATCAGAAATCCAACAATTATTTATCAATTTCACTTCTTGATCAATTCCAAACAATGATCAAACATTTAACCAATACAGCTGCACCTAGAATATTATTCATTTGACCTGAACCAAATGTCACTCCTATATCATTAGCAAATATGGAATTTTTCCAAGGAATTAACTTATTCACTTTGTATGTCATGTGTATATATTTTCTGGTGTTCCCATTTCCCATGTAATTTCAAAGAAAGTGTAGAATATTTTTTGTATCTACATGTAGAAACAACCCTTTTTTCTTCGTTTCCTTATACATGTATACAAGAATGTATGTGTAAGACTTAAGGCCAAACAAATTAGAGCTACATGTAAGAGTTCCCTGCCAAAGAATATTAGAATCAGTCAGAATTTCTTATTTTGGTCACAACCCTCAAAATATTGGGTCTTCAACAAGCCTGATCCCAGTATTGTACATATTGTTTTACCGGGAAGTTCGTCATTTACAATATACAAATTACAATGTACAAAATGTCCATGTATGTCAATTGCAAGAAAACATTGACCATGCATACTGTGGTTTTGATCATTTCTATTACGTGTTTTAATAGAATCAGTTCAATAGAAGACAAAAACTATTAATACATTATTTTTGTTTTAAGATGTTTTGGTGAAAAAAATTATGGCAAAGATATACTCATGAAGTTTGTAGTCCGAGCTCAAAATAACTGTCTGGAAACCTTATTCAAACAAACATTCACATGTAAATTGTTGGCATTTGTGTAAATTTTTGTACATGAGATTTAGAGAGGACTTACATCATTACAATAAATAAAGTAATGTTAATCATGGTAAAATTATTAACTAGAATAAATAAAGCACATGTAATAGAACACATTCTTCATGCATATCATATACATGTACATATATGTATCGTATTACATTTGTAACCTTTGAAATAATTAATTCATATCCAATCTTTTTAATAAATATGACATGTATGAGGCAGGTGCTACCTGATCAGCTTCCAAAGGTTATTGGTGTTTTATCTATCATCATAATTTTTGGTAATCAGATACAGAAATTTGCAGGAAATTGTAAGCTTCACAGATACAAAATTTGTTAAATTATGTTTCTTTATGTTTTCAGAAAAATGTCAAAAAGAAGCTTAAGCGAAACAAAAGATAGTTTCATTGACTGCTCTGTTCTTGAAAGGCCTTACAGTACTGTGTTACTGTAGATTGTGTGTGGGTTGGTGGTCTAGTGGTTAAGACCGATGGCTACAGTAGTACTGTACTAGTGCTGAAAGTCCTAGTTCGATCCTGAATCGGGGTGCTGGAAATTTCAGTACATTAGAAGGGTGATTTTCACCCTCGCCACACACATCTCTGGTACCCATAAACCAGAATGGGTATTTGGGGGCCTTGGATGGTCTAAGTGGCCCCCGACTTTGACCAGGAGTTTGTTTGTTCCTGGCGAGTTGACAGGTGGTTCTCTCCGAGTACTTTGGCTTCCTCCACCATAATAACAAACTTCCCAGTGTCCTAGCACTCCCGTGGTGCTGGGTTAGGGATTTGTCCTTGGTGGTGGGTTGTACGTATGTTAGTGACACATCTCCATTAATCCTGTTAGGGAGTGTTCATGGGTACCACTGTACCTTCGCAGCTTTCGAGGGGAGCTCCAAATAACGGAGGTATCAACCTGAACATACAATACAATTGGTGGTATGACCCAAATTGACCATGCTCCTTTTGGAAGCATATTATCAAAAGATCAAGCCATACTTCTGAGTTTTCTTCATTTCCTTTAAATGAATGCAAATTGAAGCATTTATAAACAATATGAACATTTATGCACATTTGTCATGTTTGTCCGTAAATCATGACATGAATGTATAAAACTGAAATTTATCATATTTAAAAAGATCTTACTCTCCATTCCATCCATGACTTTGATCCTTCTTCATCTGGTGACTTTGCAGGGGATGCCATTCCTCAGATTGATTTTACTTGTAATGAAAGGACTGGGTGTCGAAATAGATGATAAAACACCATATTTCATTTCACAGCGAGATAGACATTTTTAAAGTATACAATATAAAATACACAGAAAACAGGAAAAGGTTATTTGTTCCAAGGAAATGCCTTTTCCTGCCACTTCACTCCAGACAGGTCTACTGTAGTTCACTGCTTACATAAACAACCTTTATAAAATTACAACTCGAAGCATGGAATTAACATGTTATCTCTGACGGGAAATTGAGATAAAAAAGAGTAATTTGATATTCATTCAAAGTTTAAAGGAATGTTCACAATCATATTCAAATCAAATCATCGATCCGTCGGTTATCCGATTCAATTCAAATCAATAGTCTGTTTTATGGTTAAACTTTCCAAAATTTATTCCATGTCAATCACAAAAACATATCCAATGATTATCAAGTGCAAACAAATGTCCAAGTTAGTTTTCATTCATTAAATGTCCAAAAAATACCATATTTTCGTGCGAGTAAAAATGTAAACAAATCATTCGCAACAACCTGTGTCCGAAAGATGGCGCTGTACATAATTTTATAATCTCTAAATAGAAAAATATGTACAAAGTTATAACACTTTTAAGGTGACAATCAGAATATATAGCTTATCATTTACATTTCTTTTAATCGGATTCCATTAGAATTAAATAAGTAAATTGAAAGACAAACAATTTAGAGAATATTTTAAATAGAGTGCTGTCCCGAAAAGAATTGATAAATTTCCGCGTTCTTGGTTTTGATGGGGTACATCTTACAGTCCCCTATACAAAGCCTTGATTTCTGTATTCTTTTATTTTTGATCCATTTTTATGTATTCATAATTTTTACCCATTTTATTCTTTATTATTTATTTTTTAGCACCCCATTATTCTATAATCTATATCATTTTTTTACCATTTTTCTCTATTCTTTTTTTTTTTGCCCTTTTTCTTTTTTTCAGCTTCCTCATTTATGATTGTCTGTTCTGTAACCCAATCGAAACCCTCATTTGTCTGTTGTTTAAAAACCGAATTATGAAGAAATGTGACAAGTCTTGCATGGGACAACAAACCGTGAACCATCTATTAAAGTTGTCAAGTAATGCCATATTTTTTTTTAAATTTCGGTTGTCGATAAAACCATGGAAGCAGTATACATGTATCGTCTAATTTAGTTAAAGTATTGCGCCAAAAGCGCTTTGGGATCCACAATTTCCCAGTTTTGGCACTCTATGACCAGAAGAGTTTGGATGGGGTTTAAATAAAACAAAATGGGCGAGAAAATTAAAGGATTGAGAATAAAGAGGTGATAAAATATAAAGAATAGAGAATAATGGCCAAAAACAGAGAATACAGGACATGTAAGCACTCACCTAAGTATTTTTTTTAACTTGAAGCAGAGGGGACTGGGGAAGTATATGATGACCAAATATATTTGTTTGGTTTTACCAAAATCTAGTTAAGTAAAGGCATATAAGCTGTCAGAAATGATATCGAAAGTGAAATATTTAAAAACACAGAAAATAATAAAAAGGCCGTTTCTAACAATAAGCAACAGTGAAAATTTGCCCTAAAGTAATTGTAGAGCAAAATTTAAAATTCGCAAAGTGATTGCTCGTGCTTTTGGTTTTCTTAGTTCGTCTTAAAATTAAACGATTAACTGTAAAAGAACAGAAAAGTAAGAGAAATGTTTGATTCTTACTAAACATGCTAAAAGTGTCAAGATCGTGGAGTTGAAGAGCAGGGGAAGCAACCCAAATTACAATGTGAAAAACAACTTGTTGTAAATCGTTTAAGTTTACAAGAGCCATTTAAACCTTTTGGTTATCTAAAAGTATCCCAGTTAAGTGTATAACTAAAAGGAAATTCAAGAAGTGTCGGTGATAAAATGTTTACTACCTAACATATTAGTAAACATAACAGAAGTTGGAACGTTAAGAATGTCAAGTACCTGACAACATCGATTTTTTGACAATGTGTTCTGTTTCTTGAACGTCTTTAAATAATAGACTGTGTATGGTCTAGTCAGCTGCAAAAGGTTTTGCCTGTGATCCTGTCTCACTATACTCGTCAGTATATAGGCTCGAACCGCAGTGGGTCAGAATCACAGAGTAAAATGTGTATATAAATCAAAAAGTTAAGAGTCTAAAGAAGTTGAGAATGAAATCAACAAGGCATCCTGGAGATAATACATTTAAAAAGCCATGACAACCACTGACGAGGTTCTCAGGCTTGGACAGGAGCAGGCACACTTTTGTTGCGGAATTTCAACTTACCATCCCCCTAATATAATAAAAACAATTATATCACGATCTATGCGGGTATTCATACAAATACAGAAGACGCCAGGAACAATACATGTTGTATGTAAATGAATACGATAATCTGCATGACCAATAAGAAATTCTAGCAAAGACGAAAGACACAAAAGAATACAGGGAAATTTCAGTCTTCTATTAAAGTTCAAAAAAAGCGTATCAATAGTACACAAGGCAAATAGAATCAAATAGGGTAAACGTTATAATTCGATAATCATATAGGAGCTTTGGTTTTCTCTATTCTCTTGGATGACATGGATGAGTATATGTGCAACCTATCCTAGGCTATAAATCTGAATATCTTTACTAGTCTGGTTTGGTTTAGTACAGAGATAAGTTGCTTTTCCCTTACTGTCTATCATTGCTATATGATATGATATGAAATCATGGAATCCAAGGTGCTGACTCTGCACGTATAATAATTTAATATAAATTTTAAATTTGGTTTAGTGTTTTCCTGGTGAAGGTAAATCCAGAAAAGAGCTTCGATAAAAAGCTCAACAGAGCTTGTGTTCACAAGTTTTACTATGCCGAATTAGAGACATATATATATATACGTCTCTGGCCGAATTCAAATAAAGTTTTCGATTTCTATGTCTACAGGACACATCCAATTTATAAAGTGTTATTTTTATTTCATATTCAAAACAAGGACCTTACTTAAATCTCCGATCCTCTTTCTTAACAACCAGCTGCAATATTTTACCTCTAACCACCATATATAAATGTGTCGAAACAACGTCCTTGCAGTATATTAATTTAAAATGAGATGGGAAACTAGCGTTGTCTAAAGTATTTATTAGGTGTTATAACACTTCAATTTTAAGTGTCAGCCAGTTGTATATGTAAGTCGTTATAAACAAACAAAATTTTTTTTAGCAAATGAATGTTTTGTAAATATATTTTATAAATTTTCATGGCCCGGGAAATGTGGAAATGAAATTATTTTTTTTTATCATTTAATCATAATCAATATCCGGAAAACTGTATTAAAATTTTTTTTTTTATCTAAAAATGCATTAATTTGACTTTATAAATTTTCACCTGTATGAACACCTGTCGGGATCAGGTGGTCAAACCGGATCTTGATGTCTCCACTATGTTCCCTAGACAATGTTAGGACATCTTAATTGTGAGAATAACAATCTTTAACTGATAATTATAGATAATTAAATAAATGGAGTTTTTATGTTGTCCACAGATAGTGTGTACATGAACCCGAACTTAATGTATAAATAATGGACGTGTTTGCTAAAACTACCAGGGGTACTAAAATGGGGTAATTTCAGTGAAGAAATAATTAACATTTTTTAATAGTTTTTACCAAATTCTTTTGATGTTTTATAATAATTATATGTCAAGTTTTTGACCATTAGTCTAGTAAGCTATGTGTGTCTCACCAGCTATCATTATATATTAAACATGTTAAGAAAATTCTTCTATATTAATATATATCTCACTGACATTACAACACTTCCCTTAATCTTAACAATGATAGGAATGAAATTTCTAAGATATTCAATTCATGAATAAAATTTCAAAAAGTCAAAGACTCATGTATTACTGTTTTCCTTTGCAAAACTAAAGAACACCAGTAAATAAATTCAATTCCTTTTAACGATTCTCTAACAAAAAGTAATATATTTAAACAATTCCATTGATTAAAACCTTGTTTTATTCTATCGCACAAAACACATTTAGTAAAACTATGTGCAGCTATTCGTGAAAACTAAATATATTTGGCAAATTTAAAAAGTCGTTAAGAAACAATTTCTAGCTTTCAAAACACCACAATAATTGTTAAATATCGTTCCATAAAGGGATTGTTATAATCGTTGACATGAAACTGTGAAATGAACCGTTGCTTTTTAATCATGTTAATGGATAAATTTCAAAGAATCTCTTTACCTTCACAACTATTTAAGAATGTATCAATTATTTAAAACAGCCTCAGACGCAAGGGTCAGTCCGTAAGACATAAAACCTGAAATCTTATCGATTCTTTCATTTATTATTTATTTTTCATTATATTTAATTTCTAAGTCAACCTGAACAAATTGTTTTTACTTTATTCCGTTAAGGAATTTCTATTGAACAATTAAACTTTCGACACGAACAAATAAAGGATTGAATTTAATACAGATTTTTGTATTACAATAACTTGCTTGAGTAGATATTAAATATTTAATGTTTTAATTGTGTAAGCATACATGATCAATGATTAATACAATTATAAAACATTTGTCATATTTAAATACCAATATAGTAAGTTGCACTAGGCAATTGGATTAAAACATTGCTAATGCAAAAAAACTAAATCAAATTTAGTAGATATGAACTTTGGCTATCGTGAGCGTTATAATAAATAAAACAATTTTACAAAAACTCTCTCTCTCTCTCTGGCCAAAAAAATAATTAAAAAAATTTGTGACTAAAAACGAACTATCATGACTATTGGTCCAAGAATGAACATTTCTAGCGAAAACAATACGCCAGTGGTTGATCCCAGATTTAAAAAAAGAAACAAATAAAATAAATAAAATTTGGAACTTCCTCTAGCTTTTTTTTAACAAAATTCCCACCTTTTTCTGAATAACAGATTTGCCTGAATCAGATGTTGTATTCCCACTCTGTAAACTCTCTAGGGTTGAACTAGAAGAATCCGAATCTTGTTCCTTTGCTGAAGATGTGGCCAGTGGTGACGGTGTCGTCCCGCGAGAACGTAGATAACTTTGTGTTGCAGATTTTACATCACTGTATATCACTGGTTTTAATATCTTTAATTCTATTCCTTGTTTTACTCTCGGTGAAAATTTAGATTCTGGATTATTTATGGAATTTTTCTCTCCATCACTTAATTTAGATCCAACAAATTTGTTATAATGATGATTATTATTTAAAATTCCATTCCCTTTAACTATGTTAACACCATTTCGTAAATCCAAAGTATTATTTTGAGAATTTTCACTTTTTCCTGTGATTTTATGAGTGGAATTCCTGGATGAGTTAAAATCCATCATTGTAACGATTCCTTCATCATGAACTGACCACGACTTAACTAATGAAATTGATAAGCCTCGATAATTTGTGGCATGTAGCGTTTGATATACGACACTAGCTATGGGTCAAAGTAGTGATTAAAAGGAGATGATCCCTGATAATTTGTGCAGGACGGCACAATGGAAAATGTTTCAACGAGCGTCGTGGGTCGGAAATCAACTGTGTAAGAGTAAATA